CTTAGCCAGGATTTCCTGGGTAATTTGTACTACAGCTGACACACAGGGCCATTTCCTGTGGGTGTAAGAGCTTCTGGAGCTGTAGTCAAACAAACAAAAGACCACCAACAAAAACACTAAAATTGCCAACTGAAGGCATGGGTGAGACCGAGAACTAGGCCAACACACTTCTCTTGTTTCGAATATATCACGTGCCCTCTGGGTGACGTATTTTAAGTACTGACAGCAGCATTGCATGTTCGCCAATTACGCAAGTGTGTTGAATTCCCAACAGAACACCATTATTCATGTGGGTTTTCAATAACATATACACGTGACAAATTTGCACTCAAGTGCTCACCATAAGTGCATCTTTTCACATTGGGCACACGGTTGCTGGATTATATGGTGGACGATATAAGCTCACAATAATAATGCCATTTAATTATCCAGCAAAGTCTCACTGAATATCAAGACTTTCTAAAAGGGTCCTGCATCACGATGTATGGCCAATTCCATGAATGAGCTTCATGTATATACGAGGATACCGAGGGTACCCGAGGAACACCAACACATATGAAGCTGTAAGGTGAACCAACTTGCTGTACTGCCATTTCCTGGTAACCACACAGCCCAGCGGGTTTGAGAGAATCACAGATCTATGCGATCTACCAACCCATTCTTTCAAAGCGATGGATCACAGGCATGTGCCAAATACACAGCATCTGACACGGGTGTCTCAGTGCTGGCGAGACAAAGGCAGTGAGGAAAACATTATTATCAGAGCACTTGCCAGTCACCCAGTTTGCCTGCAGTTAAATGTCGGACACCCATGCCTTGCTTGTGATTGCTGTGATGAATTACCAAAGCTTGTGCATACTGAAAAGTAGACAGATGTTAAAAGACCGCGTGACAATATTCGCACAGCGTGTTGACGTCATGTATGAAATGACAGGTGTTTGAAATGCCCAGCGGAAAATTGCAATGGGATTAAATGGATGTCCATTATCAGAGTTGGCCAAGCCTGCCTCGCAAAAGATATCAGTTCCAACGCATTCTCGCATTTACACAGAGAAGTGAGGTTTATAATGGAATGGTGATGTCCACTTTGACACGTACGTATATATTGGAACTGCGATGTTTGTAATTGAGAAAACAACTCTTTACTCGTGGGCACTTAGGAGGGCGTGGGCGCGATCCGAGTGCATGGAGCCCCCAGGAAAGCCTGCCATAGTTTAAACGACCGTGCAAAATTCGATAGGCAGCAAGGCAGATGGGGCCACCGCATGAGAACACTTGCTGTCCATGACACGTTGTGAATACTGAATAAGTGCAACACCGTGGGCTCATGTCACTGGTTTAAACCGGAGATCATGTAGATGTGGGGTTGCGTCTCTTTACTGTAAGTATATGATTATTATAAAAACATATTTGACTGTTTCACCCCCCCCCCCCTCAATTGTATTCGAGTTGTGCCGAGTAAAGGGAATGCAGATGTAGTGACATCGCGGATGTCACTGTGTAATGCCGGCTCTAGAGATGCACGGCGGGCGATTTAGCGACATCGCGGGCATCACGTGGATGTGGGTGCAGTACCGGCCCTAGAGGGGCTCAGTGAGTGCTGACTGACAGTGCTGAGTGCACCACGCTCTGCGTGCAGTGCAGACCCCTATAGGATAGGCTGTGAGAGTGACGGCCATGGGAATGGGGTTACCAAGGGCCGTGGCACTCTGGTTGACCCCAAAGGGCACGTGACCGGTAAAGTCTACACGGGGGCCCCAGGTGGGGGCTAGGGGTGGTCACGTGTCAGGGTCGAGAACCTGCAAGAGGATTCTAGAAGGTGGTCGTGGCTAAGGGCGGAGCCAGCCACACCACAGAGGATATAAGCCGGGTCCCTGAGCGGGATCGGCTGCTGTTGTTCATCCTGAAGAAATCTACGTTTTACGTTCCACGTCCTACAGAGTCTCCAACACGTGAACCTGGACCCAAGTTGCGGTCCGGTCCGTTGTAGTTAGTTACTGTGTAATTAGTGCAGTTAGCCTGGTGGTCCACCACCATAGGTTGTTATAGTGTTAAGGGGCAGTTACCCCGTGTGTTGTATAAATAAACGTGTTGCCTCCAAAGAGTACGTCTGCGACTCAGTTGAACCCACTACACAAATGTTAAAGTATATCTGCTCAGGGTACCACTTTGTGCCAGAGGATGAAGCCAGAAGACAGGATTGCAAAACCTCTGAAGCGAAGTCAGTAGCCTATGGCCTTGTAAATGCTCTGAAAAGTGTGATAATAAAATGTCAACCAAATGAGAAAAAAAAAAACCTTCTGAGGTGGAATAAGTAAAAAAATAAAGTGAAAAATATAATTTAGAATGACGGATTTTTTTGGACAACTAATTTTTGACTGATCTGAGCCCATTAACTAGCAACACTCGAGAAGCCAATTAAATAATGGGTACTTGATCAGATTCAGTTCTCTAAAATGACAATATCCTCTTGAGCCAAACAGTTCAATCTTAAAAAATAATATTTCGATATGAAAACAACTGGCCAACAAGCAACGTATGCTTGCTTTTTCCTCGTTTTCATAGTTGGTGGATCTGAATAAGAGAAGCCATGGAGGAAGGTATTGAACCTGTATCTAACCAGCTGAGAGCTTTGATTATCTAGGGTAGGGGGAAATTATTCTAAACTATTGGTGAAATCTATGACAACTCCAACATTGAAATAAAATGAATTCTCACACGCATGGTTTGACACATGCATCACAAACCGTAGGCACATTGTAATTATCGATGCATCCTTGCACGCCCAGTAAACTGCAAATGTATTCGTGACCTCCAACGTTTGCACATACTTTAGTCGACGTGGAGAGGCTTCAATCTTGTGCAGCGTATATACTTGAGTGCAGCCTCTGACCAAATGACACACGTGCCTAATCTCACCACGTCTCGATCAAGCTGGGTTGAGAGCCTGGATAGTGCTCATAAGGGTGCCCGCCACACAAAAATTGTTGTTATAGGCTGCTGTGGAGCTACTTTGTGGGCAGCGGAGGGCAGTGAAGAAAAACAAATAGTGTTGGACTGTACTGTGCTATCTTTTCCAACCCGCACGGGCCAGCATGGTGAAGTAACCTCCACGACCAGCACGGTGCCGGGAGGACCTCGTACAGGAGTGGATTAACAAAAGGGCTGTACATGTAGATAAAGTGTATTCGTTATATAAAATACAAATGAATCCGTTATGCTGCCCCACAAAGTCAATGAATAACGGAGACATTGTGAACAACAAATGGGGCTTTTTTAGAATCACGAAAAAGGCAAACAATCTCTCGACTTTCGCCCGAGTGGTTTTATTGAGCAAAAGTCGGAGAAAAAAAATCCGTAGTGACGTTTAATTAGCCGGCTATTCTTTGAGTCCAGTGATGCAGCAGAATTGTACTCGGGCACTGAAGTGTTTGTCAACTGTCAACATGCGCAATGAAAGCGTGACAAAGACGGGCGTGGCTAAACGGTGCTCAATGCGAGAGAAAGTAATAACAGTTAACGATGACAAACAAAAGGGCTTCTTCAGATTTACATCCCTCAGCTCAGAGATGGTAATTCCACATTGTCATGGCAGGGGCCGACTTCCATTTTCGACGCCAGTTAATGATCCGTGAAAATCTACTTCCATACGGAAGCCCCATAGCCGCCATAAAGACTCAACAGTGAACACTGCAGTAAAACAAACACATCAACAAAACAAACACAGGGCAGGAGCTGGTTGGAGTGAATATTTCGATGGGAGACTTCCTGTAAATTCTACACGGCGTGGGGTGTGCTAGAAGGTGGCGAAAAGACGACTGCGTAGCGAAATTATTGAATCCTCCAAGAGTTCTGAATGTTAACTCCTTTGCGTCAAACACCGGTCTCGCCTTCCCGCTTTAGCTTCCTCGCACACACACAGGCTTTTAATAACGTTCACTGAAACCAGCCGACAGAGTTCGATTCCCGACCACGGCGAGTGATATCTGAGAGCCAGCCTTCACCTGCCTGCACTAACCAAGATGGTGAAGTATGGTCAGATGAATCCCCCCCCCCCGTCCGTGACCGATTTTGAACTGCGCCCACCACTCCACCCACATACCTCGTATTCACGTGATTATTGTCGAAACAACGTAACGCAGGGAAGAACAGGAGACACGTCTCTCGGTGGGGCTTTCCTAAACAACGACACTGATATAGTGATGTGGAATTACAAGGACAGGCAGAAAGAGGGAGACACGCGATTCGAGCCCGGTTAAATGTACGTTTTAACCGGTTAAATGTACGTTTTAACCGGTTAAATTTACGTTTTAACCGGTTAAATGTACGCCTGCAACCGTTAAGATCCGTGAGTGGGCTCAGGCAGGACGCGTCGGAGGAATGGAAGATTGGCCGATGGTGAGGAACGAACGACAGTGGGGGCAGGGAGAATGACAGGAACGGGACGCGTCCAAGCGAGGACGACAAACGCCAAAGTGATGGAGCTGATAGATCAGTTAGCGTGCAAGCCGCCAGATCACTAACATCGCGGGATCGCGATTTATGGCGACCGCTTACGAGAGGCCTTCGCAAAGAAGTTGAATGACCATGGCCGATCTTATTTCGTACGGTAGATGTAGAGCAACAGCTGCAATTGAAATCTCAGGTGGTCAAGCCAGATAATAACCGGGTCTGGAGCAACGGAGTAGTGTATCATCATCGCTGTGATGTCTCATTCGTGTTTGTGCGTCGTTACAAGTTGTACGCTGCTGTATTGTCAGTGAACACCGCCATGGCTGATGATGTTGACCGACGACGATATGACTAGGCCGTAGGCGCGGCCGACTCCCGACTCTCGGCTAGAATCCCGCCGGGTACCCGGCACCGAGACCCGGCCGAGGAGGTGCGCGGCCCGGTGTGGCAGGGTGGCGAGTCGGTGTGGTGGTCGGGGTTTGGGGTAGCAACGATTCACCGGAGCGGCGGGAGGCGAGGCAGGGGGGGTGAGGGGGAGGTCTCGTCACCTGCACGGCGCGGCTGAAGAAAGTTCCCGCGTCAGACGCGAGCTTCCTCACGTTGAAGTCCATGGCTCCACGTCCTCTCTGTCTGTCTCTCCACCTCTCTCTGTCCCCGCGAGCAGCGAGTGGGGCGCCGAGGAGGAGCCGAGCTCACCGGACGTGCGCCCCCGAACAGAAAAACGCCCTCGCGTGACGTCATACCCTCCCGCAGAGGAAACGACACACAAAGCCGCCGCCTCGAACGTCACTTTCGCATTTACAACGTGGGGCAGGATGACGCCACTCACTGTTTTGCCGGCGACGCACCCGTGACGTCACCGTTTGTTTACTAAAAAAAAATACGCTCCCCCGACGTCACTTTTTTACGGGAAATACGGCTGCGTGACGTCATCTCACGTGCACTGCAAACGGCGTAAATTTTGAATGGAACGTCGTGACGTGATGACGTCATCCGCATTGTGGGCGTGGTTTTGTGGGGGTTTCCCGCCTTCGCGAGGATTGATGCGGGTGGGGCTGGTCAGAGTAATCGGCCACAAAAGAACGTGGTCGGTTATTATTTGTATCTGGTCAATCTGCTACACTGCACAAGTAAGAATAGGAATCTTAATTTATACTGGAGGAATCCCATTAGCTATGAAGTTATTTTTTTTCACAGATGTTCAGTATGGGCGGGTCTGCAAATGTGGAAAGGTACAAGTTAATAAAAATATAAAACAATAAAATTCTCACGACGTTTCGACTGCAACATAAGCAACCATCATCAGGTGTAAAAACCACAGCAATAAATTTTGAAAAAAGTGGAGTTTATTTATTTAACGTTAGCACCACGGAGAGCGATTTGGCAGTTATTCAGATGGACGAGTCCATCTATGTTCAAAAAAGAGGAGGGGGGTAACGAAAATAATGGATGCGGTCTGAAAGCCACCGTAAGCGTGAACAATCAATTAAGACCCGAAATGGTTTATCAAATCCTTACAATGATTGCTAAGCCAGAATCTACGTGACTTTACCGAAAGAACCAAGAATACAAAAGGTACAAGTTGTAAAGAAGTAGTTGTGTGCAACACCCCAGAACTTTTGAGGATTCACCAAATGATCCAATCAGGCATCGTCAGGGGTTAATGGGCCACCAGGCAGTACCTATGAAATTCAGAAGAACCTTTTTCTCAGTAGCTTTATATAACAGTATACACGTACTGCATACCAAAGCAAAAACCTAAACTCAGTGGACCCACGATTAATCACCGCCCACCAAGAATATGTTCAGTTCAACCCTATTTTGGCAGATGGGAGTCATACGGATTATATCAGAAACTAACCTTTATTTTATTTTACCAGGTAGGGCCCACTGAGCGATGTAGCTCTTTTTTAGAAGTGACTTGGCCACACATGATAGCTCAACGAAGTGGCTTACTACATGTGGAAATATATAGCAGCCAAATACTCTACACGCACGTTTAATGGAGGGAAAAACTGGAGGACCCGGATATAAATATACGCGACCACGGTGAGAGACGTGCAAACTCCAAATATACATGCATCGTCAGGATCGGGATCGAACCCACGACCTCCGGTATATTCGGCAAGATAGTGAACATCTCATGGAGAAGACAGGAGGCTAAATCATCGGGGAAATTGACAGACCTAATCGCAAAACTGCACAACACAACTGAGCGTGATGGGAAGCCGACACGGCTCCGTGCATGGTGTTCACAACAGCACACCAAGCCTCGAGTCACGAATGGCAACGGCTCCCATTGACGAGATTGGCATTGGGGTGGTCGATCAACGACCCATGCGGTAACTTGCCAGTCCGATGACTTCCACGTGTTTTTTCCTTCCAGGTACTGAATCACTCGTGTGTGAAAAAGGCAATTTTCGAGTGACAAAAGAAGCGACGTGTCCTGTTGAGCTGTAAACGAGTGGGTGTGAAGAGCAGTGGGTGTGAAGAGCAGTGTGCTCACGACCGGCTCCAGTTTGACAGCAGAGGTCTCAATGCGAATCAGTCGAGTGGCATTATCTTTTCATAGGGTGTGTAACGCTGTGTGGAAGCTACCTGGTCTGTCGCTCCGCACGAACCTTCGGGTCTTTTCGGCCACGTTCATGCCCTCCCTCCCTTCTCTACGCTTGCGAAACGTTGACCACCCTACTGGAACATATTCGCCGGTTTGAAACAGGCTGGCTTGCCTACGATTCATCCTGGGTTTAACCAGGCTGGATTGTGTGAGGAGCTCGAAAATCCTTGAAAGATCTGGACAAAGTCCCATCGGTGAGCTCCTCCGGCAGGCAAGGCTGCGTTGGCTGGGCCATGTAGCCCGCATGCCCAGTCTCCGCATGCCTAAGCAGCTTTTGTTCGGCCGGATCGAGGGGGCTAAACGGGCGCGGCACGGGCTAGAGAAGAGGAGTGATGTAGTACAAGAGGATGCAGAGCTGAGTGGACTTGCCGATGACCGGAACCAGCGGTGTCAGTATCAGCCTCTGTGGAGGAGGTTCGTGAAGGACGCTGCTGGGCAGTTGGAGGCAGTCGCCCTCCAGCAACGGAGGGCGGTGGAGCGACGCTCAGAATGAGCGGAGCGCCGGGTGGATAGAATACAAGTTGGCACAGTCGGGGGTAAAGGTGGTGCATCGGCCAGTCATCTCCATCAACCCATGGCACCTGGGTGTGCCGTGAACTCCTCCCAGCGAACGTTCGGCACTTCACGTGGCCTCAACGTGCACGTAGCCTGGCACAAGCGCCGTGGTGACGTCACCACCACTTCGTGGCGAATGGCGGTGATTGTTAAATGCAAGTAAAATTATTTCCGGGAGGGGGAAATAATTTCCAATGGTTTCTTACAATTTCCAGGTTTCTTACGGCCTATATTGTGACTCATTAATCATGTGTGAACATTGACTACTACGTTTCATGACAAGGCCCTTTGGTCTCCTGGTGGGTTTCCAAAGGAGCCTTAGAGCGAGTGAATTTACTATTTTTAAGCTTAAATTGATTATTCGAGTAAAGCATATACAATACATGGAAAAAATGTATTCCACTCAACAGTAAGACACACGTACGTTTATTCGGAATTAAAGTAAAATGTAATGGGGGCACAATTTATTACAATGCAGTGATTTAAGAATTCTAATTGGAAACCCAGTGACATTATTTTGAACCTGAAATTTATCAAAATATAAAGAATGTGCCAAGACAGCACTTTGATCACTTTTTTCCTGTAACAACTTAAAAAAGAACCCCAAGCAGCACACGCACCTTTGTACAGCACTTAAATGTCAACAATTAAAAAGTCAACGCTTGTAAGCAAAGCCGATTCATATCCGTGCCCATTATTCTACATTGTGCCTGTAAACAAATTTATTCACAAGCTCCTTTTCGACCTTCAAAACTTACCATTATAAAATCATAAATCCTTTTTCAGACGTATGGTAACTGCATTCCATAACTTCTTCTTGACGATGAACTCTCTCAAGGAGACATTTCCCTTTACAGAGACTTCTGCATTTACCGTTTCTTTCTTCACTCATTCACACTCCCACTGCAGCAACACAAAACCTAAAATCAAATTACGAACATTCCCAAAACTAAACGAGTAGAAACGTTATTTTCGCATTCATATAACGCCCTCTCTAGAGCGCTTTAAGATGAAATCCGACGGCGTTCAGCGAGGAAGGTGATGGAATGGATGGACAGGGGCTGGGAATGGCGCCGATGCTGCAGGGGTAGGTAAGGCAGAATAAGGTAGAGTGTGATGGTGAGCCAGGGTTTCTGAAGGGTGCAGCGTGGATGAGAGGCAGTGGGGTATGGGGGACATGCGTGAAGTTGTAAATGGGCATGGATGAGGATAGGTGGAGGGTGGTAGGGGCAGAAGTCTGGTGGTCACACAGTTGAGCTTATGGAGGAGCGCCGTGTAGGGTTGGGAAAGAGGTATGGCCAGGTGCACACAGAAAGCGCGTCGGTCGGTGCCGGGTCAGGTATTAGGGTCGTCGGAGGAAGATGAGACACACCACTATACTGGAGCTCCTAAACCAGTAGAATTTGTAAAAGCTCTCAAGAGACTATCCCAACGTTTCTTGAACACAATCACGGTATTCTCTTCAGCACGAGACTCCCACGGGGAACTGGTTAGTAACAATCTAATGTGCAGGTGCGAGATGGATTGCAACGTCGCAGGACTCAACAGGTCTCCTACGCTCTATGCAGGTTCGGTTTGTGCGATTTCGCGTATACACGGCTAGCATATTTCTTATCAAAATTCGCTACAAGCGGTTCAATTAACTCATATTCAATATAATATATGGCGTGCCTTCACCCAAGACGCTTGACATAGCTTATAAACACCATGGGACCTCCTTTGCCAGTACCAAAATATGAGAATAGGTTATCCCATTTTTTCTGGCAACAAAACAGGTGTTAAGATGTTAAAACACCAAGCTGAAACCTTTTACAAGGAATCATGCCTGAATTAACCACACTACTTGTGGTCAGAATGCAAAAAAAAACGTACTTTGATAATATACGCATTGTCTTTGAAACTGATTGGTCTACACCAGAGATAGCTTTCTTTTGAGCCTAGTCCCAAAACGGTGTTAGACCAGAGTGAGAAAATAGAATGATTTAGACGGTAGGGAATTCTCTACCTACAAAGGAATGAGGAACACAGAAAGAGTTAAAATATTCAAGTGGTGAAATATGGAGAATAGTAAGGGACCCAGAACCAAACCCTACAGAACACCGACACTGAGAGGGGAGGGGATACAGAGTGATTGAAGGAGACATATTTTTGGAACGCATCTACCACACAACGCGAGTGAAACCTTCATAAACACAAACGCGCCAGACTGTCAGATCGGCTCGAGGCCGCACATGCACTCGGGGAAAAGGTGGACAAAGTGAGGGAGAGGGGGCATGGAAAGGCCTGGTGGGGGGGGGGGGTGTTCAAGAACGGCTACTTCCACTTGTTTGTAAAATAATTTTTACTTGCTACGCGTCGCACATTTTTCTCTCACATTGGGGCGGTGACATGGCCCCCGACAGTAGCACGAATCGCCGCTCATTCCCACATATTTGTGGTTTGAATGCAACGGGTATCCCCAATAAACAAAACTAAAAATATATACACGCCGCCTGCTTCAGTTTGACGGTAAATAGTAAGTCCTCGATTTACGTTGCAGATGCTGAATGTAAATCAAAATAAAATTTACCATTGACTTCAAATTTTTGGGATACGTTCTACGTAGTATTTTTTTGGTCAAAATTTGCACGTAAATATTAAAATGATTACCGCAGCAGCTATGCACTTTTAAATCCAGATTAAAAACTAATTTCTTTATTACTTTTTCTCAATGCAAATCGGGACAACGTAGATAGCGGACTCGCTGTACTGGGACGTCGTTCACAAGACACCTCCGATTGGCGCGGTTGGCTACTTATGGCGCGAAAGAAGTTCCAACATAATAATTTCACTTTATATAGCATCATTCATTCAATTTAATCCCACAACGCTGCACAGAAATTATTCAGTTCCGTGCACATACACACGCATACGTGTGCTGGCGTCGGAATAAAGAGTTAAAAAAATTCCCTGCAAAATGGTCAATTGTACTACATATACATCAGCCCACCACTGAAACTAAATTTGCAGGACCCTTCATAAAAAAAGTCACGAGGCTCACGGAAACTTTCTGAATTGTACAGTTAATTTTTTTTGTGCACTTTCACTTTCCTCGCCGCTGCTATAATGCAATTAGGAGGAAGTGGTGGCGTAATGGTTAGCGCACTTCGCGATGAAGCAAGCGATTCAAATTTAAACGCAAACAACCATTGCGAGTATTATCCGAGCTGGTCCGTGACCCCCACCTTTACCAACCCACAGTGGCCAGGCTGGTGAAGTATGGTCAATCAACCCCCACATCTGACACAGCGTGGAGAGGCCTTCATCCAGCAGTGGATAGCCAAAGGTCTTTAAATTATAATCATTATAATGCAAAGGGCTCCTACGCTAATTGAAACTCCGTTATATGCCATTGCCACAATATTTAACAAAGGTGGCTCGTGAGCTCTGTTCAAGCGCAAATGCATTTGGGCTGGAAACTAAATGGGAAAATCATTGAGGTCTTCCTCCTTATCGAGGCCAATGGAGTAGCCAAAATCATCGTCCTGCGCTAGCAGCCCCTCGAAGAAGTCCGTTTCCTCATCCGTGCTCTGGTGGTCAGCCAGCCAGAGGTCGTCCTTCTCTTGAACTCCCTCGCCACTTTCTGCAACGGCACATCAAAAAAACTTCAGCTACCAAACACCCGGACTGGTGGACATAGGTGGAAAGAAGTCCTACAAAGTGAAGACATGAGGAGAGAGTGAGAGCTCAAGTTCTGCGAAAGCCAAAGTCTTAGACACTTTTGTGAGTTTTAAGGTCTGGATCAGACACAGCTTCACAAAGGCTGTCCTGTACGTATGTTGCACTTCTTTCGCACCGTACGTAGCCAACCGTGCTCATCAAGGTGCGGGAGGACAACAAACTGAAGACAAAAAGCTATTCTAAAGAAATAGGTTTTCAATCTGGATTTAAAAGTGGATAGCTCCTATGGCTTCCGAATATCAGAAGAGCATTCCAGACGGCCGCAGAAGCGCATCTGAAAGGAAGCAATGCAGTGACCATCTTTGTTCTATGGCTAGCCAAAATAATCTGCTGTGAGGATGACCGGGGGAGTTCGCATGATGGTTTATGCTCCTTGACGAGAACAGCAAGGTATTGTGGTTCATTTGTGGCAAGCGCACTTTGTGTGTGATGAGTGCGACCTGGTGTCCCGAAGCATTCCCAGTTAAAGATGTTCTGGTCTCATACTTAACTCGGGATATGGACGATGGGCGGTGCTTACTTGAGTAGTGGGCGGGGGCTACCCAAGCAGTTGGCAGGGCTAAATGAGCCTGTAACACCCTGCACCACTGTGATCGAGCATTGCAGTATTCGGAGTGCGTGCGTGTACCTTTGGAAGGAGCATCTTCACGGATGTAGCCCTCATTGGGTTCACCAGCCATGCCCTCTGGATCCTTCTCTCCACCTGGCTGCAATGAGCAAAGAGACCGATTCTGTCTACAGACCAGGCATTCTTCACAGATCATGCTCACCTCTACTTTACTAATGCAATAATCGGCGACGTGTAAAATACTGACAACCCACATATCTAAAATAAGGTAACCCACGCTGGTTGCATTGCAACTTGACAATCTGCGATTGATAAGTTCGTATCATCCTCCCCCTACAGGTGGCCAAACTTGTCAATTCATTCACTTCCATCCACTTCATGCAAACACTCTTAACAAACATCTTCCGCACATTATTGCATTTTTCCAGACATTGTCAAATGTTTTATAATATTCCCAATGGGCGACATTTATAAAATCCCCGACCTCCAGCCACCCAGCAGAATGGGATCACCACAGTTGATGGGCAGGTCAAGTGTAGCGGGGTACAGTGTGGCTACTCCCACCTCCTCAAAGACGTCTGGCCAGTGTGGAAGAGCAGGCGAAATAATAGCTGGAGGAGCTCTGAAAGTGCTTCCTTTAGTGCAAACCTTTTCGCAATTGCAGGGCTGTACCTTTACATGTTTTTATCCATATGGGGAGTGGGGGGGGTCGGGAGTGGAGACCAGGGTGGGTGGGAATCAACTGTTCTGTAATTAAAACACCTCCATACAAACTTTTAGTTTTTTTCGGTAAAGTCACGTAGGTAAAATAAAATAGAACAATTAAATCACGACGTTTCGGAGGCAACACAAGCTTCCGTCTTCAGGTGGAACAGTCACAGCAGAATATCTGTGTCAAGTGCACAGTTCCGAGACGACTTGGATTATATATAGGTCGGGGGGGGGGGGGGGAGCCAGAAAGGGACGTGGGTGGGAGGGCTGAGTTAAGCCGCCTTTTCTTAAACTGCACAAAAGCGGGTAAACAACCCTTTTGGTTTTCTGGCGGCGGGTTTTTTTTTTTCTTCTGGGGGGAGGCGATGCAAAACATCAAGTACAGACCAATTTTTTGAAACCTAAAATGGAAACTACGAAAATGGCTGTAAAACTATAAGGTAGCTAAAGTTTGACATACAACCAGTGAGAAGTGGAAATGGCTGGACAATTAAAAGGCAGCTACCATTTGATTTGATTTATAACATCTTTCCAGTGGTTGCTCAATTTGAAACCATCCTCACGGTTGAAGTTGTGTCTATGTTTGTATATCTGGATGGCCTTATGAACAAATCTTTGGTGATAACCGGGAGGTTTGCAGAGAACTTTGGTATCAGAGAAGACAATGTCATGAGAACCCACTGTGTTGAAGCAATGATCAGCCACGGCCGAAGAATTCGTTCTGCCGTGTTTCAAATCTGATTTGTGCTCGCGGATTCGGTCAGAAATGTCGTTTCGTCTCCCCGATATAGCAGTCACCGCAGGTACAACTCAATTTGTAAACCCCGGGGTACTGTAAGTCAGGGATGACATCCTTCACGGATGGGATCAGATCACGGATTTTGTGTACTGTATTGAACCGGACCTGGATCTTGTGTTTGTTAAGAATTTTGGAAATCTTTTTAGTACAACATTATTTAATTGGTCAAAAGGTTAAAGGAAACGAGACCCGAGTAGGCACAGGCCATAATAGACGGCACACCTTAAATATACAAACACACAACCACGTCATCCGAGAAAAATTCCTTTCCCAAGAGTAAATCCCGAGCCAACACTGCCAGCAGGGTACGCTGCCCACTCCCTGTACCTGCTTCTGGGCTTTCGTCATGCCCCGCTTGCTCGATCCACGCACTTGGGAAGTCTGCCCGGAGCCGCTAGCCTGCAGGTGCTTCTGCAACGCGGCACATCCAGCAGTGCAAAGCAATAGAACCATTTAAGCCAAAGGTGAAAAACGCGCACGTACACACGCGCCGTGCCCAGAACTCGCGCATGCACAGCATGAAACCCTTGAACCCAACAGACGCCTCAGCTGCTGTCACCTACTCAGCTCAGCACTGCGTGCGTACCGTTAATTACCTCCGCGCTTTGGCGAGTGGAACGTGATCGTCGAAAGTCGAAACGCAACTGCTCGTGCGCTCTCCACAAGACGGTAAGATAATCCGGGGGGGGGAGGGGGGAGTAGCGCGGTGACACGGAGGGTTAAAAAACGTGGGGCACTACGAACCGGGCCACCAGAGCTCTCTTCACGGCTAGCAATATCCTGCGCACCGCCTTCATCCGCATTGATCAGGGTGAAGAAGTATGATCAAACAATCTCGATGACTCACGCAGAGTGGAGAAGCCTTCACCATCCTGACAAGCGGTTGGATGCTATTATATTTTCAGCTATTAGTCAAATAAAAAAAACATCGCTGTACTATTATAGAGCCTAGGGACATGCTACCAAGCTGTTATTGCCGATAAGACAATTCTTAGAGATGTTCCAGGTCTGAATGGGCTAACTGCTGGAGAGATCATCTATCTTTCAATCTTAATAAAACAGCAAGGGCATTCGCAGAGGCCTAGTTCTTCTTTTTCATTGGTGGACACAAAAAGGGAAACACTGTGACCCACAAGTCACGCACAAAGAGGCGAGAACGCGTACAATATGGGCAGCTGGCTAGAGGCAGGATACCGCGTCAGCAGGAATTGGAAGTTGTTGTAGCTCGCCCGAGGCTTGCCACACAAAACCGTAGCTCTTCCACTGGGGGCGCCGAGTCTGCATCCTCCTTGAGCTTCGCCATTCGGGGAAAAATCGGAGCGCCTTCCATTGTGGCCATGGGACAGGAACAAATGTGTGTACTAAAAGTGGCACGCTCTGTCATGTGGGCATTGGAAAATGTGGACATTTGAAATTTGACCGTGTAGGGTAGGAAAGGGGATATTTGGATGAATGGTGGTAATATTAGGCCCGAGGTTTCCTTTGCAAGCGATCTGTTGTGTTCATGGGCTCTTGGGCTTGTTGCGTCAACAGGGGACTTGGATGAATGATTGGTGGGCGAGTCTGTGAGTACACGCACAGCTGAAGATATCACGGTTGGGGTTCAAGTGTGAGTAGAAGGCTGAATGCAATTGACCATTTTGTGCTTGAGGTTTTTTGGAGAAAACAAAAATAAAAATGCCTCTGCCCAAGCAGAGAAAGACCTATGCAGATTTATATTTTGATAATTCTGGTGGAAAGTGATGGTAAACAGTGGAATGTATGTGGTGAAAGATCCTACACAGGCAATGGCCAAATCTTGAATTGACAACAGTGTGGGGTAGAGGAGCGAAGAGGCACAGTCGTAATTATGGCCAGAACATAGGACAGTGGTTTCTCAGAGCGTGCCCACCGATGGTGGTCTGCCGGTGGTCCTCCAGTAGGTCCGCGGAGCTGTGATGCCAACGCAGGTTGACTCAGACAATGGCAACGTTTTTACCTGTTGTGTCAGACATTAATATTTTACTTATATTAAATTTAACATTTTAATGAGGTAAACTATCTAAGATCTAAATGCCCCCCCAAAAAAACCTTACGGCTGGGTACAAAAATGTTATGATCCACAAATATAAATTATTTGGTATAATTGGTATTGAGAGAGAGAGAGAAGTGAATGTGTATGGGTGGGGTGGGGCTGAGTGGTCCATGGGCCAAACAAGTTTGAGAAACACCGCTATAGGACGACTGCTTACGATATAAGGATAGGGGCTATCCATTTAGTACGTACGCATGGAGGGGGCGGGTTAACTCAAATGCGTTCGCTTGCGTATGGGGGGTCTATTGACAATGTACGCACAGAAAATGGGGGGGGGGGGCTTCAAACGAGCCACAGTTACGTTTCTTCAGCTGCCAGACAAGAACTACCGGGAGACGTGGGACTGTGGGAGAGGTGTCACTTGTATGCCACCGTACCCCTGACTGCAGCTATCACGCTGCTGTGCTTCAGCCTGACATTGCGCGTGTTGACGAAATTCCCATAATACGTCACCCGTTCGATTGGGTTCATCGGCGTTTGAACCTAGCGGACACTTAATTCTTTAATGCAGCTGGCGGTGGACTATCTGTTTGCTTAAACACGTTAATATTATTCATCCTTGATCGTTTCTGCGTGGATTAAATATCGGCCGTTCTATAGGATTCGGGGGGGGGGGTCGAGCGTACGTACGCAGGTGGGGGGGGGGGGGGGGTGTAAGAAGTACGTGTGCATACAGGGAGGGGCGGAGGGGTCAAGTTTTGACAGATTTTTCTGTACGTACTAAATGGATGGCCCCATAGTGAATGTAAACCTATTTTTTATTTTCGGATTGCGAATTGGATAAAGTATTAATGATCATGCAGCTAGTGGGAACATTATATATTTTCTAATGTCTGTGTGGGCCGAAGTAAGCATGTCAAATCAGAGTATAGTGGAGGGCTGAAGTTGTTCGTCATGATGGAAAAAAGCCACAATGCCATGAACTTTCCCTCCGCTTGTAAGTACCACTTCCTGACAAAGGCAGAAAAAAAGATTGCCTTCAATTAAAAGACAGAGAATGCAAATTAAATTGCAACTGGGATTTGTGTTGTTTCACAAGCATAGGCACCGTTGTGGCAGTCAAGTGGCATGGCTATACACTGCTGATGATCCCATATAAGAGTGAAAGAGGCTCAATCACCAGGACTTTTCAACTCTTCTCTTCGGGCATATGATAAAGTTGGACAGAATTCTGCCAATTCTGCCTTCTCTGGATATGGCAATCAGTGCATGTAAGCCTATAAAATTGCCCTCGATGTCATAAATTCACCTTATGCATGGATGCATAACTCAAACAATTAAAATGACCAAACACTTAAGTTAAAGGTGATTGCAGGAGGGTTGGTGGATCACTCAGGGATCAGAGTGAAGAGACACCAAGCTATAAGGCAAAAGGGCAACACCAGGATGGGCAATTTTGGAGTTGTCTGTACAGCTGAGTTTGAGTGATATATTGCCTGTCACGCATGGATTTCGTCGAGGCACACTGTGATCCAACACTTTGGCAGGCTAGGGTTGGGGGATCATGTATATTTGCGAAATGCTCAAAACCTGCTGCACTGCGAGTATGTATGTACGATGGAACTTCTTTCGCACCGTACGTAGCCAACCGTGCTAATGGGAGGTGCGGAGGTGAGGCAGCAAGGAGATGGCTGTCCAGCCAGCGGATTCACGGATCTGTGTGTGCAGACATTTGAGTGTAAGCCCCTCACATTTGTGGGGTTTCTGCTGCTATACTGGTATCCTACCACGTGCAAATTTTTTTTTTCAAATTAAATGGAAAAAATCCCAACCCTCCTTAAATGACTGAAAACGGAGTATTTTTCAGGTTAAAAATATATAACTTGTTTTTCATATAGATGAACATTAATAATGGTATTGGTCATCTATAAATATGACCACTTATAGGTAAAAATAATCAATACTCAAGGAGGAACTGGCCAAACATCTCAAAATCAGGACTGTTGAGAGAAAAAAAGGTCTTGAGACTCAGCTGCACCTTTCTTCGGCAATAGCGATTATTTAGACTTAACGCAGGGATCGCTTGTTGCTTACCAATAACACATCTGGGACCTTCAACACTACCAAGGGATCAATCTAAATTCAACTCGTAGGCGAGGGTAGTGGAACATTTTGAAGGCTCTGGTGCCGGCCGATTGTGTTACCACTTAGGCTGTGGCGCTACAACCACGCGTGTGGGCGTAAGTGCGTGCGGGAAGGTGGGGCAAATCTCTGCGCAGGGAAGCCAAGTGGGACCGGCGGTTGGGAAAGTCCGCGTTGAGTGCAGCGACGAAGCGTCCGGGCGTTCGTTCAGGAGGGGCGTGAGAACTGGTGGCATGAGGGTGCGTGGGGGACGCTGCGCTCGGTCGGGCCTTCCCGCGCGTATACCTGAAGTTTGAGAAAGTGAGCGTGCGAGCGGCAGTGAGCCAGCCTCGCCGAGGGCTCCGCGCGGTAGAATTTTTGACACAGGTGGCAGAGCAAGCCACTGACGGTGACGACAAACTCCTCGCCTGTTGGGGGGGACAGGGAGAGGGAGGGCAGAGCAAGGGAAGGCACGAGAGAGCGTTGGGTGTGCGTGCGAGGAAGGAGGTGGAAAGATCGGGGGATTTCCTCGTGCGTGAAGTGAAAAAAGGAAGCGACCGCTTCCTTTAAAGCGATCCGACGATAGCAGGAGATTGAAGGCAGCGGTGGCCAAAGGCTTCTCATTTTAATCGTGAAAGTTCCAGAGTTGAGAGTGCTTGCCAAAGGATGGCATTTTGCGTGTGAAGGAAGACGCGAAAAACACAAAGACGGAGAGAAGATGGGATCACAGGAAGGGTGGATAAGAGGGGGGGACACGGAGATCTGTGGGTGGGCGCGCAGACGGGATGGTTAATACGATGAGCAGCCACCAGCCCAGCTGCAGTGAGGAAAGGAACAGCCGTGGGCTGACAGACATGGCAGGCAAATCCTCCTCCTGGCTCGTGGAATCATAGAAGTGACTTCTCAGAGAGGAATGTGGTTATATTGACAGAACATATCCTCGCACACGCCAAAACACCTCTACCAGATAAAAAAAAATATCCTTCTACGCTCTTTCCAAGTGCCGAGCGGTCCAAAACTATTCCGTAACTCGGCAATGCCTGTTGACGTCCCTCACCGTGAGCACTGGATGGTTGGTGCTCATGTCATCTTCTCACACTTATCCAGCGTTGACCAGCCACAGATTGGTACTCAGCATGGTGCTAGTTTAACTGGCTGTGGGTGGGGTTGCATTCGCCATGTCTGGGATTTGACCAAAAATTACATATACTGTGTATAAATTAACTACTTATACCTTTGACGGAAAAAAATAATTAACTAATTAACTTTTTGACCAGCAGGCCATGAACAACAATGTTTTATATGGAGTATTATGGAGCACGAGGAACTTAGATTGAGTCATGATTTTAGCACCAGTGAATAAGTCACAGCTGATTGAAATACCCCAACGGCATCAGGATGTCTGGAGATTACAAGCAAAAGCCATCATTAGGATATGAAGGCCATTGTAAAAAACAGTTAAGACGTTAAATCAACAACCCTCCTTTCGTCTGTATATACTGCAAGGGCAAGTTCTGTGATTAACAAAAAATCTAAGGCCAGCAATATCTACGAGGTGGTCATGTGGACAACACCATTGCATCAGATGCTTATTTTAGAACGAGGCCTTGTTCACTTGCAACTTCTTGCGACAGTACTGGAAATAAACCAGTGCTACACTCAACACAGCTTCACCCATTCGCACACAACCACTGCAGTAAATGCATACAGCATCCACACATCACGTGTGAAAAAATTCGGCTAATTGTTACACTCGGATTTAGACGACGATTCTTACATATGTAAGATGTGTTTGATAGGAGTTTTATAACCCTAGAAGTTGTAATAAAAATATGAATTTTAGGACCTCTGAAGTTATTTGGTACTATCTACGTAATGCACTACACAACATAGTATAGGTGATTCATAATGTGGGCAATATTGCTAGCGTCAAGTGCCATATTGACCGATACCTTGCTAAAGAGGCCAACCGTTGATTTACGGTCTTACAAAAATAAGATGTGGTATTTATCACTATTTATCTCACTACGGCAAGGAGAACGCAATACGGATTATAGCTTTACTATTTAATTATTGAGTGATGCCTCATATCAAGCACGAACTAATAGGCATCAGCATCAAGACATGCATTGCATTGCCCAGCTCTCACGTAAAGAGTGCGAGAAACACTAATTGATCACTTAAGAGAAGCCAATACGATGTTAGGCGTTATCCAAAAATTACTTGAATTTTAGCTGCTAACCAAAATGGGGAAGAGGCTTTCCCTGTTTGTCGAGGAGAGCCACGAGGAGGTGTGTCAAGTAATGTGCAAGAACCCAAGGCCATAAATCCACGGCCGAAAGTTTTTGAACTCAATGCGGTAAGAAAGCAGGCAGCTCCATGTCTCATGTCTTACCGTACGCCACCGTGGGGTTATATTCCATCTCTGCAGCCTTTCCCCCAACACCCATCGCCTACATACAGACACACAGGCAAATTCATCACTGTAAGTTGGGCTCGACTGGGGCGAACGCCGTTAGTAAACCCTGTGAATGCTCGCGTTGTGGCGAGTTTGTGAATGCTAGTGGCATTCTTGAAACTGTTCCCAGGCCGCACAAGTGCCATGCACTCACAAAAAGATCACAATTCAATCTAGATCACAATTTCCCCATCTCGTCTTTCAGCCCATAAGGGTAAGGGCTATTCATTGAGCACATTAAGATCGGTACGGTGCAAAAGGGATTGGTGTGACCAGCATCACGCCCGACAGCCATTCTATCCCCTAGTGCTGATGTTTACACACCACACCAAGTCGTCATTTAAGGCCGAGTCGAACGAGGCCAGACCCAGTCCAGGTTTATTCCAATGGCAAGTGATGGATGTACATCAAAGCCCACAGTTGAACCCCAGTTGTCGATTGGGAGCACAACGTGCGACCCACAATGTCACCGCTCTCAATACAAAAATCAGAAAAACTATGCTGGCAGCAAAAAAAAATGTATCACCTTTTTGTTGAATTTTTCTTTGACGATCTCCGTGCCCGATTGGCTTCCTTCTATCTTGCCTATGCCCTCATCTTTCTCTTTGACGTGGAACTCCTCCTCCTCCTCGCGGTCATCGTCATCATCATTATGCTCATCGATGTCCTCCTTACTCTCCTGTCCATCGTGGGATGCAGCGCTGTCACTTGCCGGCCTCACGGCTTTTCTCAGCTTCTTCTTGATGGCACAATCCCCTGCGGACTCCTCATTATCCTCATCCTCCTCGTCTTCCTCGTCCTCTTCCTCGTCCTCCTCATCTCCATCCTCGTAGCAGCCCACGGCGTCCACCGTTATTAGCTCCTCCGTTGGCCCTGGGCTCTGTCCAGATTTCCCTGCATTGCCGCTCTGCACCTGTCGAAAGATTAAAATAATATTCCTACAAAAAACGGTAACGTGGTTTGAATTCATAAACTGGTGACAAAACACAGCCAAGCGGTAGCACATTTCTGCTTGTTGTATGTGTAGTGACATATAATGGGTTACTACGGCGCCTACCGCCATCTACCGACAGAGAGGAATTGCATGTGTAGTAGCCCTCTGCCAGCAGAGTACACGATGTCATGGAAGAGGTCTCTAGGGGAGCATGGTTCTGGGGGCTGGCAGAGTAGGGGGCATTTGAGGATGTAGTAGCCAGATTTGCTGGCAAGGGCACGTGATAGGCCGAAGGTGACAGAGGGGACACGTGTTGTAGGGCCCAGAACCTTCTAGTGAGTTCCAGAAGGGGGCGCTGGCCGAGGGCGGAGCGAGGCAGGGGACACATGGAAGGTGACCCAGAACCTTCTAGTCGGTTCCAGAAGGGGACGTGCCCAAGGGCGAGAGGGCCACGCTGAGGGGCATACAATGGGAGTCCCGGAGCTGCATCGGGGCTGTCTGCTGGAATGGAACCCGCCGTGTTACGTCTTCTCCTCGGTCTCAGGTCTTCGTGCTCGGCATCGTGGGTCAGGCAGTGTGCCGATTGACCTGACCCGTTTATATAGTTACCCTGTGGTGGTTACCGGTTATGTAGTTATCCCGTTGTGGTTACTGGTTATGTAGTTACCCCGTTGTGGTCGTAGAATAAACGTGTTGCCTCCTGAATTAGTGTCTCTCAAGTGAACCCACTTCATATGTATGCATGTTGAACTTCTATCGCGAGCACAAATTTGACCGAATTCGCGAGCACAAATCAGATTTGAAACACGGCATAACAAATTCTTCGGCCGTAGCTGATCATTGTTTCGACACAGCGGGTTCTCATGATATTGATTTCTCCGATACCAAAGTACTCTGTAAACCTCTCGAATACTACCAAAGATTTGTCCATGAAGTCATCCAGATATACAAACATAGACACAACTTCAACCGAGAGGATGGTTTTAAATTAAGAAATCATTGGAAAGATAAATTTTTATTTAAAGCTTTCGTGACTGCAGGGATGAATATTCTTGGTTCTTTCGGTAGAGTTTATTGTTTCCCTTTGACGTGACTTTACCGAAAGAACCAAGAATATACATTTGAAAGATGTCATCAACCAAGTCAAACTTTAGCTGCCTTATAATTGTACAGCCATTGCCATTTCTTCCAGTTGGTTTCCCTCATTTTCGACAACCGCTCTCCATCCCCTTCTCCGTCCCCCTAACCCCCTGCAGCATAACAAAAGGCGGCTTAACTTAGCTCCCCCCCAGGGCCCTTCCTGGCTCCGCCCCCCCCCCCCCTTTAACCTGTATATAATCTCGGGTATCTAAAAGCTCTCTCGGTTGAAATTGTCTCTGTGCTTATATATGTGGATAGCCTCATCACGTAGATTCTGGCTTAGCAATCATTGGAAGGATTTGATAAACCATTTCGGGTCTTAATTGATTGTTCACGCTTACGGTGGCTTTCAGACAGCATACATTATTTTTTCGTCTCCCCCCTCCTCTTTTCAGAACATAGATGGACTCGTCCTTCTAAATAAACTGCCAAATCGCTGCCTGTGGTGCTAACGTTTTGTTTTTATAAATACAAACACTGCTTAAAAATAAATAAATGGAATCCACCACTTCTTTCAAATGTTTCTTGCCGTTGGTTTTTCACACCTGATGATGACCGTTTGTGTTATGGTCGAAACGTCGTGAGAATTTTTATCGTTTTATATATTTATTATTTTATTGTTTCCCTTCAACGTGACTTTACCGAAAGAGCTAAGAATATGAATTACTGCAGTCACGAAAGCTTTAAATCAAAATTTAGTTTAGCTTCGTCTATGTCTTCACTCAGACTCGTTCATTGCGCCCCGTCGCAGTCAGTGGTGCTTTGGTGTTTCGTGGGTTCGTCGCAGTCCCTGTGATGATTGACGATTGTCGTCACTAATTTAATGTGCAATGTTATTGAGGGACTACGTACGTATGGTGAACTTTTTCGCATAGTACGTAGCCAACCATCTGCTGTCTTGGTGTGGTCCTGTTGTTGTTTTGCTGCCTTGCCCAAGCTTGCATTTAGCATTGAAAAATCGGCAGCAATTGATGTACTTATAAAATTTTAACTTATATACTTTATTTTCATTTTCGTGACTTGCTTACCTTATACTTTGCATTCTTATCGTTTTAGTATCATTTGTTGGTATAAATTTCTGACCCGCCTCTAATGGACATCTGTAAAAAAAAGAGCCTCATAGCTCATAGGATTCCTCCTCCTCCTGTCTAAATAAAGATTCTGAACAGCACCGGCGTTTCCCTACTTACCAGCTGTGCGCGCTGCCTGTGCTCCTCCGAGCTCATGTGCTCCACGAACTTGCGCACAGAACGCGTGTTCCACCTGCAGATGGTGCAGTACGGTCTGGTCAAGTTCTTGGCTTTCTGCACGCACACACAACAGCAGCAGCAGCAGCCAGGGTTTGTCACCATGTGGCGGTAACATTACAATGATGCACATGCCAGGTTAAGTACGCATTGAGGCATTGTAGAGCCTGATGCTATGTTTTTACAACCTCCATAAAAAGGAACAGCCCCAGGTTAATCGCAGGATGAGCAGTATGACCCAGGTCCACGTTCCCATACTCCACGAGTCTTGATGTTCCAAAGGCTCAGCAATTCCTGCTCAATCTTCCATGCCCCCTACACCTCCCTACTCTCTATGCTCAAGAAAAGATCTTCATTAAAGTTTGTTATTAACAACGGTTGCCTGGCTGCCTCTCTCTATAAAACTACGATGCCCACTGCTTCTATATAGCATCTTGAGATGCAGCTTGTTTTAAGACAACCTGAAATCCAAACAGTTATTTTATCAACACAGGCTTGTATTAGTGGTGACAATTACATTGGCCCTGGTAAAACTGGGCAACATGAGTGCGCTTTGGAAGCTCAGCTCCCGAGGCCGTTGGCGTTGGGCTGACCCGGAAGCTGTGCCCGTGTTGAGTAGCTAGTGCGCGCCAGCATGCTCTCCCAGTGGCTGCGGGAACGTGGCAGGAGTGCGGCTGTGCACGCGAGAGCCGCTACCTTATGCATCTGGCTGCGCCGATGTTCCACCACGTTGCAAGTGAAGTATTCCTTGCACATGCTGCACCAGCGGGAGGCTGGCTTGCCGAGACTGTGGCAAACACACACGCAACGCACGTGCCAACATTAACACAAATCAACCGTGGGTCAAGGGGCTACACGACTCATATCGAAGCACTAAGCCTACACCAAATAGATCCTGGATGCCTACTTTCCGCTTTCAGTAGGAACTAGGGTTTCTGCAATATTATTTTTCACAATACCATAGCATCAATTTCAATATTACATTTATTGTGATATCAATTGCCCATAAAAGTGAAATTATATTTAACATTTCAATTGTATTGTTTTCGTGTTTTTCTATACTTCATTACAGATACACACGACTTAAAAGTTCCTTAATGACAGTGCACTCAGTTTGAAATCTTGATAATTATCCCAAAAGGGTGCAACTGTGCAACCTCCAATGCTGACAATGAAGAATGTGTCAGTTACACAAAAAATAATGAAGTCACCTAAACAAGCCACAAAAAAGACATAGTACACCTGCCTGTGAATCACTGCGGAATATTTTGGAATGCGCCAACTTGAAAGGCATTTGCCCACACTGCTGCAGAAATCTTAATTCAAATCCTAAGAAGGCCCAAAGAAGTGCATGGCTAAAGCTTGAGAAATTTCATGCTCAATACGAAGGCCAATCCAGAAAAGCATACTTGAACGTTGAATATCACCTTAAGTGGCTGGATAACATGTTATTAAAACCCAAGCTTAGCTTTGAACTGATTTAAGTGGTGAGATGTTAACTGCCTCACCTGGTATATAGGAGGTTGTGGGTTCGATCCTGATCCTGATGCCTGTATATTTGGAGTTTGCATGTCTCTCTCCCTGTGGTCGCGTGAATTTTTCTCTGGGTCCTCACGATTTTTCCCTCCACATTTAAAAACACGAGCTTTAGAGTATTTGGCCGCTAAAATCCACTTTGTTGAGCTATTCTTTGTGGCCAGGTCGCCTCTGAAAAAAAAGCTAATAGCTCAGTGGGAATTCTTTTAATCGTTTACATACGACGTTGGGGAGGGAGCGGGAGGGTTGGAGGGGGTACGGCAGCGCCGGTGAGACTCACTCAGGTGACACGACGCTGAGGAGGCAGTGTTCAGCTGATTTGGAGCCATCCTGGGCGAGCAGCATGGCCACCTGCACGCTGCTTTTCTGTTGCACCTCCTGCATGCAGCGTGCGTGCATCGCACCGTTCATGTGGTTCTTGAAATGCTGCGGGGTGAGAGCATGGGCGCACAACGATCCCGTGTAAGCCCGCGAGAAAATCGTCATAACGAGCCATCAGCCGAGCAGCAAAGCAGGAAAAATACGATCGGTAAAAAAAACAAAAAACTGAAAGGACCCGAAGAGTTAATCTGTCTGATGATTCAATGACTCGCCACGAATTGTCTATTCTTATTGTGTTGTATGTACCATCTAATTTGTACCGTTTCTTGGAGTGTTTGGCTCTCCTTTGTGGAGTTTGTTTGTTTGATCCAAAGTGTAGATTGGCATGTCTTTTTGCATATATAATCGAGTTAGTTTCATGTCAATAATTCAATGCATTCACCACGAGCATAAACATCCACATTAATTGGTTAATACAGGCGACCGAGACAACATCAAACAATACCATGCGTGAGTGCCATTGATGGGCGTGTTAGGTTACCCACTTTGTTCACACCTGTGTCCAAATGTGTTGACCAAGACAATACAAAGGAATCACAATGGACTATTTGCCAGTGACTTGGAGCATTCAACTGATGTCATGTTTATTAGCCAAGACACTTGGCTGGGGCATTGCTGTTTTTTTGGCAGTTTTCGTTACTGAAGCTGGGCACTGAGGGCCTGCTCAGCAGCTTTTTTTTAAAATGAAGCTGACAACTGTAGTTAGGATTGGTTCTAGGTAGGAATAATAAGAGTCCTAGCTAGGGGAGTTTATCCTTTAGGCCAGTCGTGTGAGCAATGCAGGAGGTTGGGATGAGGTCAAGAGATGTACCGTGTCAGCACAGAAACATTTTACCACTTTGGAAGGGAAGACAGGTCAACTCCGGTGTTAACAGACAAGTGTCTGTAACTGTGAAGACCAAAAAGTTGAACTCTAAGTAACAGCATTAATGTGTAGTCATGTATATTTATCCAGAAATGCACTCTTAATAAGACCTAACGTCTCATTTACAAAGAAGACGAAATTTTTATATTGGAAAATCATAATTTCCAATACATAAATCCAAATTCAGAATCCTGCACTTAACTAGAATAGTAATAATGCACTGCTCTAGAATGTTTAAGTCAATTATAGTAATGCCTCCCTCTGTCAAGGGATACAGGCCAATAGTTAGGAAATGACCAAACAACATCACAACCCATACCTTGCTCTACCCAATAACAATCGTTATAGTGATGAACAAACCAAATCAATACTACATATATTTGTGCCTTTATTATAGCTCTGCAAGGCGATCATGAAGGCACCATGCTTCATCAGCCTAGTTTCAAGCAGAGGGCAATGTGACGATGTTTATTCCACATTAAGTACGTTGTGGGACAATGTTCTAATTTGGACTATGACACCAGCACATTATGGAATACTCTTTTTGAATAACGTAACGGCATCGTTAACGTCCACTGTGAAGCAAGCAGAAGGCATTAGTGCTGCAACAAGTGGCGGACGCGCAACCGCTCGACCACGTCACTGCCCAAATGATAACAAAGACAACGTGATGCCCAGCAGTCTGAAACGAATGAAGAGTAGTGCAGGTGGCACCCGATTGTTGGCGCAGGTGACGTTGCAGAGGTGGCACGTGATGGGAACTTTGTCTTCCGCCGCGTCGCTTTTTTCTGCATGCTTCTGGCTCGGACTGCCGCCCTTGAAAGCTCTGCTGCTCTCTCCGCGCTGAATCGTCATTGTCAGCAGGCTCTTCTGCGGCAAAGGCCATGCAGAGGACGAATACACGATGAAGGAGATGGATGGGAAAGAATTTCACCGAGCAAGATCGACCACTATCACGTGGCTAGGTATGGTGGAGGGTACACGGGCAGGTGGGTCGTTTGATGAGCAAGTGGGTAAGTCAGTGAAGATGTTATTATGTATGTGAACAGTCAAGCAGGCAGACATACAGGAATGCAGGTAGGTAGGTAGACAGGCTGGAAAGTTAGGCAGGAAGAAAGGTAGTTGGGGATAGGCAGGCAAAGTCAGATACATAAGTAGGCAGACAAAAAGTGAGATGGGTAGTAGGCTGTTAGGAAGGCAGGCAGGTAAGGAGGTAGAGCAAGTAGCTAGGTAGGCACGAAAGTAGCTAAGTAGGCAAGAGCCTCCTACCTCTGAACTGTTCTTGTCATTTCCATCGGCAGCCGCCTCAGTGCTGCTCTCTGTTCACACACACAATTAATTTCCCATATATTCTCTCCATGTATTATATATATAGCACATATGCCGATAGGCTCTGTACATGCACGCATATTCTACATGTAGATTGCAGCACAAGTTATGTATATGCATACATTTAACTGTGGATGGTAGTGTACATTTTCAGAGTAATGACACTGACTTAATTACAAAAAATCTACCTTAACATCCGCAGTGTTTAGCCTGAGACCCTATAAGAACGATTTAGAGCCCTTTGTAAATCCACTAGTGGACACGTGTCCCATATACTGTGTTGGTTATGGGGGCTGTTTGACCATACTTCACCACACTGGTCAGGATAAGGTTGGCAAAGGGGGGCAACGTCCAGGACTGGTTCAGATGCCTTGTGGCACACCGCTATGAGCTGAGGCCGTGCACCAAACTCAAAAGCACGGTGCACTGTGGCGATGTTCTACTGCCAGAAAATAGTCCCCAATTGCCAGTTCTATTTTTGTGTTTGGCAAAATGTACAGGAACTAACTTGCAATTTCGAGATCTGCCAGTCACTACAGGGTTTCAGGACACCGTACGTGAGGGTTTGCTATCTCTCCGTTGAAGGAATGCAGAAGACAGTGGTTTATTAAATATGGCCCATAGTTTGAGTTGCATTACCACAATCGTAGCGTGGCTTGACTTTAATTTCCATTTATGAAGGAGTTATGCACAACGGCCTGTTGATGTAATAATTACTTACGTAGCGCTTTTCATAAAGGATCTCAAAGCGCTGTCAAGAGCCAGGAGGTACAATGTTTGGGTCTCGAATTGCCAGTGTAGCTGTACAAACCATGTACGTATCATGCATGGATGCGAACACGAGCGATTCATTCATTATTTTTGCGTGCATCATACCAACTAACTTATGCGGGGGGGGGGGGGGGGGTGCGCATGGATGTTTACGCTTGTGTCAAGAGGTTTAATTTCCCCCACCGTTGTCGCCTTTGTTCCCAGCTTTGGCCGAGTCATCGGAATGCTTCTCCAAATCCTTCGCTCCGTCACAACTGTGAACATTACAAAAAAATAAAAAAACCTGCAAACGATTCTGTTCAACGGACCGTTGAAACGATCTTGGTCTCTAATATCTGGCAGTTTACCAGCATTGTTTTAAGGAAGCCAAGACTTTAATGAGACACTGTGTGGAAACCAGTCCAGTTTGTTTGCACTTATTCAATACTGCTGAAATGATTAACTCCCAGAAGGCCATATGAAGAAGACATTGTTTTTTTGTGTTATTTTCTCCACAACAATGCTAATGCTTATTTGGAGTAATTTGTTTTATAATTGTACTTAAAATTTGGACCCATGTTTTAAAGAGAGGGTCCTTATCTTCAAAATCTGGCAGTTCAACAGCATTTTTGCAAGCAAGCATGACTGCTGATAAGCCACTGTGATGAAACCAGTCCAGTTTGTTGAATCAATGGTGTTGAAATTATTTACCCCCAGTAGGCCGTAGGGCCGATGGATTGTGGAGACAGATATGTCAAGAAGATATTGTCTTGTCTCTGTTGTTACATATTTTTTCAACAAAGACAGTATTGATTATTTTGACTCCTAAAACAGTGAGGTTTTCCTGGGTACAAAAATATATTACTGCCATTATGAGAAGCCTCTCTGAGAAGCATTAGGTCAGCATTGCTAAGCTCACAAATGCATTGAGTGAAGTTAACCTTCGCAATTTACCTGGGGCCAGAGATGGAAGATCCACATTACGAAGTTTGAGGGATATTATACTGTCACTGTCAACTTATTGAATTATTAAGTCAAGCGACTGGACCACTTTTTTACTGACCTAAGATAATAAGAAACTTTCATTTTATAAAGTTTAATTCATGCGAATAGGATCCCATAACGCTGTACATTAATTATATATAAGGACCCAAATCCAGTATACAGCCACTACCAAGCAAATGAAAATCCTACTACCAGGCAAAATACAAAAAGAATAAACAAATAAAGAAATGGCAAATGATGATCAAAGTGAAATAGGTTCAACCGAGATGACGCTGGCCAGGACATCAACTCCTGTTTTCACAATCTGTCCTCCCAAATGACAAAGTCCTGCCATGAAACATGGGCATTATCATCAAACATTACTGGTTCTACTACAATGGGCTACAAAAAGAAAACGTGGTAATGCATGGGTGTTTATAAAACACAGAATACCTGGTTTACAAAGAGGAAGTGGATTGGGATCTGCGAATCTTACGTCTGTAGCTTGGCTTTCTTCTCTGGGGGTGCTTCTGAGCCGTGTTTTCCTGCTGTGCTTATCTGAGAATCCCCAGTTCCCCCGACACCTGACAAACACAGACACAAATCAGGTTACCAATAAGGTATCCTTGGGCTGCACCCATCTCAGGCCTCGATGTGGCGGTAGCTACATTGACACGCTGCTAACCTCTCACAATACAATGGCCAGCTCAACAGCTTTGGGGTGCCCTCGATCTTCCTTCTCTAACCCCGCCCACTTACCCTTGGGCCTCCACCCATCTCAGGCCTATACAACACCCTGCTGCTGCTGCTTCAGCAGCTCTCGTGTTATATTTTTTCACCTGAGGACAATTGACCATGTTGCGATCGAAACAGTCGTGATTTATTATAATTGTTCTATCTACATGACTTTACCAAAAGATCCAAAGAGTATGATAAACATTGTTTAGTTTTATCCATATATTTTAAGTGATTTGCTTACCTTTCCTATACTTTGCACTATCCTGTTTTTGTATTGCTTGTTGTTGTAACTTTCTGATCCGACCCTACTGGACATCTGTGAAAAAGAGCTTAATAGCTCATCAGATTACTCCAGTATAAATAAAGATTCTGATTTATATTTAAGTGAAGTATTCCAGCACAGATGACCCCCAATGGGTTGTTAAACAAACACGTGGCTTCAAAAATGGGACGTTTCTCAACCTGCACACATAAAATCAGAGCAGTTTTAATTCCGTGTGTTCTCGTGTTTGGCCATCTAGCACCCATGTCGACACCCTTTGTTAACCTCCACTCAACAGGAAGTCCCTCATTGTCCTCTGCTGCTCTTTTTTCCTGGAACTCTCCCCCCCCCCAGTGCCAATTCCATCCACCTGATGAACCGGTCCACTTCTCCCTTGCCTACCACTGCTCCTTCTATACCAAGGGCCTTACTTCCCGCTTCCTATCGTGCAGCCTCCTTACCCCTCCTCACAAATATTTATTTCGCTTCAAACACGTGCACGTCGCCTCACCCCAATATATGCACTACGTTTTGAAATGAGGTAAAATTTGGACACAACGTAAATACAAATTGCATTGTATAGTTATTTCTATACAAATTACATTTATATTGCACCCACAACTTAACAAGACGCCTCAGAGCACAATTTTGTAGACTAGGGGACCCCTAATGGTAGATTGTTTTGTAACGCAAGCCCCAGTGGTATATGACACGATTGCGCGAGACAGGGCAATATTTTTCAAAGGAAGATTTACGACGTTAAGGGAGGAAACAAGGTTGTTGAAAAACGTCAGTGCTGCAATGGCAAAGGTTTTTGCACCTCATCGTATTCTTGTTCATGTATAAACGTGTCAACATCTCTACACCTCCGGCAGCCTAAATTCACCCATCCCGCCCCACCTACCATGCGTTCTTCCTCTGGAGGCGGTGCCCCCGTGCCCGTTGGCAGACTGTGACCGCTTGTCCGAGGCAGACGTGTTGAATCGGCCTCTGCTGCTGCGCGTCTGCTCACCGTGAGCACGGCTACGAGACGATACACGGTTGTCCCGCTCGTAAGGCTGTGACGACAGCAGTGACAGTGCGGAGGAAAAACGAAATGCTGATCATATGACATCCATGGAGATCAAATGTCTCGTACTCCACTGTAATCCACTATTATAGTGTCTCTCCACTGGTGGATGAAGATACAGTAAGCCCTTGGTAATTCGACACATGGAGCTCTGGTCTTGCCGAATTATCCAATATTCCGAATTAAGTACAATTGTACTCCCCAGTGCCTCCTGCCAGGCGTACTGCAGCGTGTTGAAAGTCCACACCGCGAACATTAATGCAAGCTGCACGCTCATGTTTGTACCACTAATATACTGCACTATCAAAGACAACAAAATTTGCAGCGATGATCCTCTTCTGTACCTTTTTGGAGCTGCTAGGATCCTCCAAGGTTAAGACTCCCTAATCTTTTCCCGGCCTTTAATGATGTCGTAACAGGTGCTTGATTTTACGTCAAACGCTTCACACACCGTACGCATTGACACACCTGCGTCAATTCTATCCCAAAACTTTGGATTTGTCTCACAAACTAAGGGATTTATACTTCAGTCCCTTTCAGTTACTTCTTCATGTAGGTGTAGACGACATTTCTGAGAGGGTTGGCTTGCACAGAGTGCATAAACAAGGTAAAATCCAAAGCAACGGGTCTGCACTAACGCTCACCACGTGCGCCGCCACTAGACTGAGTCATTATTTTGGTCGTGGTGGGCGGCGTCGCTCCAAGTGTATGCCGAAATTGGACTATTTGGTACAGCAATTTGGCTCATGGCGAATTACTAATACAGCGTGTGTGTGCCGGAAGCGCAGCCATGCCAAATTATCCCCAATAATGAATTACCAAATACCAAGATAATGAGGTTTCACTGTACCTCCTTCACCATCATGATGAGACATTGTCTAGCCACTGTTCTTTACATCTGCATGAGACTTTTCCTATGCACTGCTCAATGAAGGCCTCCCCATGCCATCACCATCCCTCTCCATTCTTTGATGTGGCAATCCATTTCACTCATCACTCCAATTCACATACACAAGTATATACATCTATAAAGATACCTGTGTAGCCTAAATAACTCTTTAAAATGCTGTCAGTCAGAACCTGTCAAAATAAATAAAGTGTCAAAAAGCCCACAAGGGAGTGATGTGGCAAGTATCATGCCTGGCAACGTAAGCTGTTGCTAAGGCAAAAAAAAGTGGAAAATGCCAGGCCATTTCATGAGAACTGATGAGAGATGGACACAATAAACTGCACAAAGCAAAACAAGCATAGGAGGACCGTGTAAGAGATAGTGGTGAGATGAAATCACGAGTTCATAGGCCACTCCTGGTTGGGCACAACTTAGTAAAGGAACGAAAGAAAACTGGGGAAGATTTTTTCCAGCAATTGAAAGTTTGAGGTCGACAACAACAATAACAACAAGCTTTAAACATGCAGTTGCCAACTGTAAATCAGCCACTTACCCCGACGCGCCTGCGCACTGGCAAGGGCAGGGGTGTGTGCAGCAAAGGCAGCACCGGCGGCGCCGCTGCCGGCCGTGGCATGTCGGGTTCGCCCAGCAGGCTCGTCTGCGGGTGTAGTGTCTTCAAAAATTACTCACACCGACACGTTGTAACAAGTCACCTGCTTACACTTTATTCACCTGTTCTTGCGCCAGTTATAGGCACTCCTTTAACTATCTGTACGGTCACATATACTTAACTTCTCCCCGCTATTATCTATTCTGCACCTCACTTATCCTGCACTCAGTAGCTCTGCTCTCAGCGACTCCGCACACAGCGCCTTCGCGCTCAGCGACTCCGCACACAGCGCCTCCGCACTGAGCTACTCCGCACACAGCATCTTCGCACTCAGCGAATGCTGCACACAGCAACTTTGTATCTCCACCGCTGCCCTCACCTACACTCCCTCAGACCCGCTCACCCGTCTGTCCCGGGCGGGGGGTTCAGCCAACACCCGCCCAGCGACGGCGTGAGGGTTGAGGTCCCGTTGATGGCTGGAGCGGCAGCGGCGAGGTGTCTTCACTCTTGGTTCCTGGCAACAACCCCCTTCGCTCACACACTCCTGCTTATATCCCCCTGCTCATCCCTAGTCCTTACATGCTTTCACTTAAGCTGCCGCCAGGCCGGCACCAGTTGTCCCATTAATTTCTTATCATAACCCACCATCTCCTGTCTCCTAGGTGCCAACCTCCGGTCACAGCGTAGCACCTGTTCGACCTCGGCTGCACTCGCTTCTCCCCGCTTCTCCTCTTAATTACTGGCGGTTTGTCTGTGCAAACCTCATGTTGCAACGCGCACACCTGTTTGCCCTCCGTTGCACCCGTTTAACTGTGCGCACCGCGTATTTCTCTTCTCTACGTGAGAACCTATTAACAGTAAATAGTGTCAAAAAGCCCACAAGGGAGGTGTGGCAAGTATCATGCCTGGCAACTTTAGCTTCTGCTAAAACAAAAAAAAAGTGGAAAATGCCAGGCCATGTCATGAGAACTGATGAGAGAGGGACACAATTAACTGCACAAGGCAAAATAAGCAGAGAAAGACCGTGTAAGAGATAGTGGTGAGATGAAATCAACGAGTTCATAGGCCACTCCTGGTCAGGCACAACTTAGTAAAGGAACGAAAGAAAACTGGGGAAGATTTTTTTCCAGGAATTTAAAGTTTGAGGCCGACAACAAGAAGCTTTAAACAAGCAGTTTCCAACTGTAAATCAGCCACTTACCCCGACACGTCTGTGCACTGGCAAGGGCAGGGGTGTGTGCAGCAAAGGCAGCACCGGCGGCGCCACCGTCGGCCGCGGCATGTAGGGGTCCCCCAGCAGGCTCGTCGGCGGGTATGGGTTTAACTGCGGTGGCGGCACCAGGGGTGGTGGCGAACCGAGCAGCCCCCGCCCGGAATGCGGCACCTCTGGAGCCTGCTCGTAGGCCGTCCCATATGGGGCCGACGCTCTCTCGTACTGGTCGGGCCCCGTCATCTCGTACTCGCCGCTGTCCGCAGCAGGCGCGTAGCTTTCACGGTCGTACGCGTCGCGTTGGTAGGGGTCGCGTTGGTAGGAGTCACGATCGTATTGCTCGCGATCGTAGGTGTCGCAATCGTAGTTGTCACGATCGTAGGGGTCTCCCGCATTGCTGCCACCATCCAACGGTGTCGCTTTGTGGCCGTACTCAAAGCGTTGCTGCGTGTGATGCTGCGTGTGATGCTGCGTAACATAGTCGTCGTTGGAGGGCACGCGGTCGTAAGAGTGCGAGTCTTGCACCTCTCCGTACAGGGGTGCGTCGTCGCCACGCCCACCGTAGTCTTCGTCGTGGGCGGCCATGCGGTGTTTCAGATGCATGGGCCGGGGCTGGTCGGGGGGCGGGGGGCGCAGGCCCAGTGGGGGAGGAGGGCTGAGTGCACGCCCTTGCCGCGGAGGCAACTCTCTTCCGCCGAAGCTGGTGGAGTGCAGGAAGAGGTCCTCATGCCCAGGAGCCGGCCCCAGGATGCCCACTCCTGGAGATAAAGCACAGATTGTGTGCTGTGTACAGCGTAAATAGTGGTGTGTGTGCTATGTATGCTGTGCTGTGAAGAGTACGGTGTGTGTTGTGTATAGTGTGCTGTTAACTGGGTAAGATGTGGTATATATAGTTTGGTTCGGTGTGTTCCATCTACAGTGCGTTGCATGTTGTATATCGTTCGGCGCGATTGGAGTGTAAGTGGTGTGCAAAGTATGGTGCGCACTGTGCCGTTTTCTCCGATTGTGGCATTATTACGTTGTCCGACGTGGTTGCCGTGCGAATGCTGTGCTAGCGTACCTGATCGCGGGTCTGGCATTCCGGAGAACTCAACGTGGTGTCGCCCACCCATTGCAGCGGCGGTGAGTGGGTGCGCTTGCCGCGGCAGCATTTCCCTCGGCGGCCTGCCGAGGATCGGCGGGCGCCCAAAACCCAGCGGCGGCTGCTCGTCGAAGTGCGGGAAGAGCTCCTCGTGCCCTGGAACCGGCCCCAGGATCCCTTCCCCTGGAGATTCGTGGCCACCATCACGGTGAGCATGGTTAGTATGTGTTCTGCACCTAGTAGAAAGAAGCTGCAATTTTACGTGAATATCCTTATGTTGAATCGTTGTGTGTGAAAAAAGAGCTCCATAGCTCATCGGATTTCTCCAGGATAAATAAAGATTCTCATTCTGAATGGTTGACTTCTGCAAATAACACAAGTGAAAAGGTGCAAACTGTCCCGTCGCCAATGTGTTTTCATGCTGTACTGGAGCGAAATGTCAGATGTCACGCCAAATAAGATGCAGAAAAACCTGGAACACGCAGCGCTGCAATAACGCACAAATATATAAAATCTACACAGGAGTAAAATTATCCCCAATTACCTTTTTTGCTGGGCAGCTGAATTGTAAACATGTTGTCAAGGAGGCTGGGAATTCGTTTTGCCATAACTGCAATCCTGCAGGCACACGTTACACACACACACCAGGCCACTCATTGAGTAAATTGCAACAACCTTGGTAGGCCACAAATCTCAGCCAGCATGTGAATTGTTACGGCAGCTCATGTTATCAGTGGCTGGTCAAACAACCAGACCTCAAAAGCTAAGCAAGGTCAAGCATGGTTAGTACTTGGATGGCAGAGTACTTTTAAACCAGGTGTTGTTGTAGGCTTGGGTTGCAAGGTGATTGGGGGATGGTAGTACAGCTTGTCGCAGTTGACAATATGCCCATTCAGACACCTCTACACAGCAGACTAGTTTTATTTGCTTAAAATACGCATTCAGTACAAATGGGAACTGTGCCATCACCAAGCAACATACATTCAGTCAATGTGACTGTAGAGCTGCTGCTCTTGAAATCAATAAATCATTATTGATATAGCACATTTCACGTAAATGGTATTTCAGAATTTTTTTATAAAATGAAATAAGAATTTTCAAAAACGTAGAATGCATGAATTACAAGACGTTCACATACCTGTCAACCCCTTATCAGTGCCGACCTTATTCAAATTCAGACCGTATAGGTCACCCCGTGCCCTTATACATTTCAACGTTTATCCTAGTAAAGTCCCATCACAAGGGAGAAACACAAACAAATACAGGTTTTTTTTTTGCCGGTATTGAAACGGCTGTACGCCGCATGGGCCTGAAAACTCAAATTCCCTGCACAAGGATACGGGGTATAAAAACGTATGGGTTGACAGGTAAAAAGCAACAAAGCAATGTCAGCATGAACAAGAATGGGATAACTACCGTCTGGGTGGGATCTGAAACAAATCCGACTGACCCCACAGAACAGGAGCAGCTGTTGTTGTTGCTAAGCTACCACTACTCATACAGAGCTCAATGTTTCTGCAAAGAATTACGTTGTAAACATTCTAAACTCTGAATAAAAGACGTAACTCAAGAAAAGTATTCTTGGGTCTTTCGGTAAAGTCACGTAGATACGTTCAAATAAATATTTTTTCTCCTGATGACGATTGTTTGTGTTGTGATAGAAACGTCGTAGTTTTTTTAAATTTTCTTTTAACCTATCTACGTGATTTTACCGCAAGAACCAAGAACATGAATTCCTGCAGTCACGAAAGCTTTAAGTCAAGATTTTTGAAAAATGTCTCTCTTATTTTTAGAGCGGGTAAACCGACACACGTCCAAAAGACGCGCGGCGTGATAGTTAGCTTTTAAACAGTTTGCTGATTAGCAGTTTTAAAAAGGGCATATGAATAAGTTACCTTATAGTAGTTACTTAATAACTAACACACTCTTCAATAACACAAACGTATTATGAAAATAAACGCATTTAAGTTAAAAAATAAAAATATATACTTTGCAATGCATTGATGGGATGTTTATTCAAGGTACAACGCACCTAGGTAATGCATTCCTGGGCCGAATGACCATGTCAAAAGGAGTAACCGCCCTACATTCCTGAGGAAGAGAAGTCTAAGAAATAAGATGTGCTTGTGCACCACTGCCCAAACAGTAGCACCACCAAATGTTAAATCAATGTCCTTCCATCGTCACCGAATAAGCCAATTTAACACGTGCAGATAATTGCAAAGGCAGCTGCCTATTTGCAACGCGCATTCTTTAAAAATACTCTAATAAATCGATTTATAAAAAATGAGACATATATGCATAATTAATAAGAGTTCGCATCGCAAAGAATCAAGAAGCCCGCGATTTTTTACACGGAGCGCGGATTTTTGGAGTTCAGTACAGTATCACGAAATGTGGCGGAGAGTTTGTAATTGTCAACATACACCCTACATGCACACATCAATTGATGCAATAATGCACAAACATCTTTAATATTCTCGGGGTTCAATGACATTTCCTAAGGCTCAAGACAGCGAGATGAAGGAGGAACCTCTAAGGCGCTTCAAAAAGCCACATGGCGCAATCGTATTACCTCAGGCGCACAAGACCAAGGCCTCGTAGATACTAAGGGTTCACAATGAATGCCTGAAATGTACCTGTTTAAATCCACATTGTTTAAACTCGAGTAGAGTGGCGACGCAGTGGATCACACACCACGACACGAATCCGGGTAGCACGAAACGCGTTCGACTCCTGACCGCGGCTATCAGCAGTGGCGAGAAACGTCTGAACCGGGCCTGGGCCTAGCTGCCAAACAACGTACGGCGACCAGCGTGAACGGTGGTCAACATCCAGCACATGGATTGCAAAATTGATATTTTAGAATTATGTTCGCTTCCAGCATATCGCAAATGATTACCGTAAGTAGGTCGCTGGGAGGTCGACGAGAGACACCGGGCCAGTCCTAACGATAGACGCAAGGGATTTCCTGCAGGAAAATTAGGCAAGACCGAGGTCCCGCAAGGGCCAACCGGGAGTGGGGGTCCTCTGGGGTCCGCTATTCCCACAATCTCTGCACTGGCGGGCACAAATGAGAGGCGTTGTTCAGATACTCAACTTTGTGAGTGATTTTGATCTAAACTAATGCTTGTTTTAAGAAGGTAATTGCTTGCGCGCTCTGCCCCTGGAAGGGAGAGAGATGGCTTCCGTCCAACAGAAGCAGTCGGTGGGCGGGTTAAACCAACTGCGCGGCGACACAAGGGGCGTGCTGGGGTTGACTCTGGGGGGGTGCGCGTGTCGTGATGGACTGGTCCAACCCGCTTTATTTCGACTTGGGGAGGAGGAATCCGATGAGCCATGAAGCTCTTGTTCCACAGACATCCAGTAGGGGCGGGTCAGCAAAGTTACAACAGCAAACAATAGAACGATTGGAGTGCAAAATAGATCAAATGGTTGAGCAAGTCACTAAATCTAAATAAAAATGCATTTATGATATAAGTGCGATTTATGAACATTGGGAAAGGCAACAAAATCAACAACAACAAAGCAGTCCCAGACCACACCAAGATAACGCGCAGTCCTCCGAGTATTACGATGTCCATTTCCCCTGGATGACGGTGACCTTGAGGTCACACGAAGCAACACGGAACAGGTTGGCCACCGCGAAAATGGAGAGCTGAATGGAGTTCAAAAGAGCTCCCAAACATTCACTGCTTGTGAAAGACAAAACACAGCGAGATCCCTGGCGTTTGACCTTCCACGAAGCTCACGGTCCACCCTAAATCGCAATCCACTGCACAAACCAAGGCAGCAATAGACGCGGATACCTGATGCACAAATGTAAAGTTTAAAACTGGGATCATCCAGAACAGACCGTACACTACGTGATCACGACATGCAACCTTGGCAGACTTCTGTCTGACTCTCATGCGGGAATCTCGTAGCGGAGAGAGCGCCTCGTAGCGGCCAAAGGCTAAAGAAACAAAATAAGCGGAGCTTTTAGTTTATGACATTTTTCCAAAAAAATATTAACGTGGTCGCGTGGATTTTTCTTAGGGTCCTCCGATGTCTCCCTCCACATTTAGAAACATGCGTTTAGATTATGTCGCTGCTGCTATAAATTTCCACATTATGATCATGGTGGTGGTGGTGGTGATAAATAACTTCCACACGTGCTTGCACCGCCATCTCCTGGCGAACTAGGGTGTGTGGCGGTGGTCGAAACGTGATTTTTGTTATTTTATTTTTTAACCTACGTGACTTTACCCAATAGAACCAAAGAGTGTGTGTGGCTCCTCCTCGACACGCATGGCCAGCTTGTTAGGTTCCACCAGCCCTCCTCCTGCTTCAAAGGAGATGGAACACGGCCAAGGAGCCACCCCACTGAGCGATCAGCTCGTGTTCAGAGGAGAACTGGCCACTCATCGATATAGCTCATCGAAGTGATTTATCACCACCACCATGATCATAATGTGGAAATTTATAGCGGCAGCGACATAATCTAAACGCATGTTTCTAAATGTGGAGGGAGACACCGGAGGACCCGAAGAAATATCCACGCGACCACGTTAATATTTTTTGGAAAAATGTCATGAACTAAAAGCTCCGCTTGTTTTGTTTCTTTAGCCTTTGGCCGCTACGAGGCGCTCTCTCCGCTACGAGATTCCCGCATGAGAGTCAGACAGAAGTCTGCCAAGGCTGCATGTTGTACCGGGGGATCCTTGTCTGTGCTGTGTAAGCATGAGAGCATGCGTGCGTGGCGTTTGCGTTTGTCTCGTGCGTGTACCACGTTCTGGGCCTGGCGCGTGTACAGCGTAGCGGGGAGACGTCAAGAAGCGCTGCTGCGCCTTAGAATCCGCATCTCGGGGCATCACTCCCAACTCAGCAGCAGCAGCACCCAGTTATTTAATTCCCTGCTTCCACCAATGGTCGTAAAGAGTACGGGGCACAACCCCCCCAAACAGTCCCGGGGAGTGGCATTGGTCTCAAGAGCTGCTCCGTCCCCCCTCTCCTGGCTCTCCAGGCTGGTGGTGGTGGTGGTGTTGTTGTTCTCTCGCGACGTTGTTCCACCACCGCCCCGTGACTCCCGCAGCGCCCTCGCTCGCTCCGTGCTGGCTGCTGTGCGGGCGGGCGAGCGAGCGAGATTCCTTTCCCGGTAAGTTGTTAACAACATCTGTCTGCTCAACTTCTTTCGCTCCGTACGTAGGCGACCGCGCTCATCGGAGATGCGGGGAAAGGGGGCTGACAGACGAAACGCACACACGCAAAAACCAAGTTATTGAGCTCTTGCAATCCTCCGTAAAGTTAGACAGAGCCCAGAGCTCGTTTTCTCTCGTCCAACGGCGACTTGGGTTGCGCGCGACTTGGGTTGCACGCGACTTGGGTTGCACGCGACTTGGGTTGCACGCGACTTGGGTTGCACGCGACTTGGGTTGCACGCGACTTGGGTTGCACGCGACTTGGGTTGCACGCGACTTGGGTTGCACGCGACTTGGGTTGCGCGCGACCGAGCCGCGTGAAACTGGAGCGCGTCTGCGTGGAAGATCGCGCATGCAACGAGTCGGGACGTCCACGTGGAAGCAGACGACACTCAAAGCTGCCCGGTTTCGAAAGCAACAGATCGCGCTGATATCCAGCAGCAAGAAACCCCTGTTGACCATGAAATGGATAACTGTATGCCATGCGTCCATGGTCAATTCGCTGTGGTACTCAAACTGTTTGGTGCTGGGAACGTTGTTTTCCAACGTTGTAGCGACGTGGAGGCGACTGGCCACCGGTGAGCAAGTGCCTGGGGTCACCCTAACTGCTTGATGCTGAATTCTGGGGTAGTTAGGATTTGGATGCCATACCCCAGATGACTGCAGTACAGTGTTCTGTCAGCCGAACGTGTGCTTTATATGATGGGCGCCACGGTGGCTATGAGATGTTGACTACCTCGCCAGGTGTACAGGAGATCGTGGGTTCGATCCCGACCCTGACGCCTGCTGCTGCTGCTGTATATTTGTTGGAGTTTGCGTGTCTCTCTCTCTCCCCTGTAGTCGCGTGGATTTTTCTCCGGGTCCTCCGGTTCTGCCCGACACGTTCAGAAACGTGTTTGAGTGTTTGGCTGTTATAGATGTTTACATGTTAATTATCTTTGTTGAGCAATCATTTGTGCCCAGGTCGCTTATGAAACGGAGCTATATAGCTCAGTGGGCCTTACCTGGTAAAATAAAACATAGTTTAATAGTTTGATATCGTAGCAGTAAATGCGAATATCCAACACCATGGAATAATGTAATTACCACCATCGCCAACAATGAGTATTGGCCATGCTTGTTTGAGGAGGGATACATCTTCACATTGTTAATGTTATTTATGCGACGCTGATATTCTTAAATCTTCAACAGAAATCGGTGTGTTCTGCAGACTCGGTGTGCAGCTGATGCCAGCGCGTCCCTACTGCTAAGCACACTCAGCTGGTGTGTTCACTCCACTATCTATTGATGAGTGCATCTCGCAGTTCACGTATTTTTGTTTGTTCTGATTGCTATATTTCGAAGATGTCATTTTGTTGACCCAGGCCACTTTTGCAAATGAGTCCCTTCTTTGTCTCTTTTGAGTTCCCTCGCCTGGTTCAACAAAGAAAGCAACTTTAAACTTGAACTGTCACTGCTTGGTGTTACGTGGCTTCAAGTTCCCCGTGGTCATTGTTGTCTGAAACGTGTGCACACCGAAAACAATGATTTCATCATCAGCCCCCACGGCCCATTGCGTCGCCACAATGCAATCCTGCTCCTGCTACACGTGAGCTGATCAACATACAGTACTGTATCTTCTTCTATGTTGTGGTCGTCTTCTCTCCGGGCCCTCCGGTTTTCACCTCCACATTTAGAATGAACATGCGTTTCGAGTATTTGGCTGCTAGAAATTTCGACGATAATGCCACTTCATTGAACTATCATTTGCGGCCAGGTCGCTTCTGAAAAATAGCTATTATATAGCTCAGCGGGCCTTACCTGGTCAAATACAAATGTTTCAATAGTTTTGTGCATTTTCTCCTTGGACTACAGGTTTGTCACGAGTCTTGTTATATCTTCTCGCAAGGTGCCCTGCACAAGCCCACTTTCCTTTAGTCCATGTCAGGTCTCTGATTTTAATCTGTTCTGTGTGCTCCTCTTTCTGCATCTCGGTGTCATGCTGCATTCTGTAGTCCCTCGCTTATTTGCATCCTTTTCTGGTTTCTTTGTCAATGCCCATGTTTCTAATCCATATTCATTTATTTAGTTTTCACTTGGAGGGACATACATATGAAGGAGCCATTGCGTATCTATTTTGCGATATTCTCCACAACAACGCTAATGATTATTTTGTGTTTTAATTAGGATCCATATCTAACAGCGAGGGCCCGTCCCTACTACACCTGGTAGTTGACCAGCTTGATACAAGTGTGGCGTGTGTAGGTACTGAGGGGCACACACTATATTTGGAGGCAACGCGTTTAATAAGCAACTCACCGACCACTGGGTTCTGTTGTTACGTGTGGCTAGACTGTCCTAGACTGTTCACCGTGTGTCTGTGTGTGCGAGTTGACTATCACCGGGTCGGTAGCGCACTCGCTACGGGCCCACGCTCCCCCGACTAAACCCGCACGAAGAGCGGCGGCGGCGCCGGACGGCGGCGGCGGCGTCCTCCTGAGCAGTGGACCCCGACACGAGGGCACCCCCCCACCCCCCTCCCCCCCCCCACCCCCCCCCCCCACCCCCTCCCCACCCCCCAGCCACCCCCCCCCCCCCACAGCCCCCCCAGCCTGGCTCTGTTGATGGGATATTGCAAGCTCAAAACCAGTACACAGTTTGCTTGTGTTCGATCCGTGCTATTGAATTTATGCCTTCCCAAAAGGATATAGGGCTTTACTCTTTGGTTCTATTGGGTGACTTTACCCATTAGAACCAAAGAGTATGGATCCTTACTGTCACGAAAGCTTTAAATCTAGGATATAGGGCTTATAGGTTGTGTAAATTATACTATTACTATACACTGATTGAAAACTTTCCTCTTTAGGCACAATGGTATAATAATGAATGCAGATTTTAATACTTGCATCGCTAAATACAGTTTAGTAAATCAAAGTGGTTGTCTATCTCCCATGCTTGCATCACTTGGATGAATCAGTTTTCGTTGATGCATCGCTCCAGCCCTACTGCTCTTCATCACAATATTCTGTGCATGCGTGTCACTTGTTACCCCTGTTTGTCTCTGCATCCGTGTCAGAAGCTCTTATGCCGGTTGAACTCCACTCGGGTTGCCTCATGCTCACTAACGTGTTCAGGATGCACTCCCGTTTGCCTGACTAATCCGAAAAAAATCCACATCTCAGGCCTGTGTATGTATGCATGTTGAACTTCTTTCGCACCGTATATAGCCAACCATGCTAATGGGAGGTGTAGTGTTAAGTCTATGGGCAGTGTTGAGCCTATGTGTAGTGTAAGTCTATGGGCAGTATGTATGCATGTGTGTTGAACTTCTTTTGCACTGTATGTAACCAACCGTGCTAATCGGAGGAGACGGATTGGAATTGCGATTTTGTGGAGCATAGCAGCAGCAGCTTTGGCTGTGATTGGTCACTGGCATGATGCCAAGCTGTGGCCTTCTCAGAGAGAGACATGTGTACAGCATAAATGTCTTGAGGCTATTTTCTTGCTCAGACATGCATTTTACCCAATCTAGCATCTTTACACTAAGTTCCCTTGCAAATATTCCCCTGGCCAGCATTGGAAATAAAAACAGCAATGCAGGCGACGGGCAAAGACCTGCTTGGAAAGTATTATAACAGACACACACACAACAAACAATTCATAATTGCATACAGTACGCACAATGTTTCATGCACATAATAAACACAATGCATAAAACTAAGCCATACGTACAATGCACGCATTACCCACATCATGTAATAAACCAAATACATAAAACACGTATAATAAGGCACGTTAAAATTATGATACATTACTGCGGCACAGTTTGGCGCCAGCTATCGTAGAGTGCGGTCGTGTCACTACGGTTTACTGCGGTGAGTAACAATGTCTTTAACAACAACGGCGCTACGCCTCTCTAAATAAAGTTTACGCTGAACTGCTTGCACGTTCTGAGATGCAGCAGTGATCGGGAAACTCATCCTGCGACTTGCAGACGTCTCGAAATGGGAAGGGGTTAATTTCTGAATCACGTTCAAGAAAACTTTTACAAACTGATTAGAGTAAAATGTAGCATGCCGCTTTGCGTAGGGCCTCACATCTATCGCCGTCTGCCAAAGCGGCACAGTGTTAATAGTGTCTCTTAGAAAGGTGTTAGCTGCCGTATTTGCTATACCAAATTCTCATGTGTGGACCTATTTGGTCCTAATATAGTTCAAACTCTTTGGACACAACAATGAAAAACTCTTTGAGCTCATGAAATAATGTTCTTTTCTCTTCATGGTCCAGATTGAGCCTTTGAAGACAGAGGAGGAAAGGTGAGTGGAACAAAAGGGCGAGAATCAAGGGAAGAAGCAGAAGACGGAAACAATTTAAAATTAGAACAACACAGAAATACAAGATAAAGAAAATGTGCAATAATAACTATAGAAGGTAAGAGGGCCAGGGAAACAAGAATAGAACTGTAATACAAATGTAAGTAACCATTTGGTAGAATATTCTAATAAATGTAGGATATAACTGCAATACAAGGAAATGAAATAAAAATCTGTAAAAGAAGCTCAAGCAAATAGATATTAACAAAGCACAAGCAGACAAAACGTTACGACAAGAAGATACAAGGCAAGGTGATAAGGTGGGAAGAGAGGACGATCAACAAAATCAAGCAATCACGAAACTGGTAAAACAATAACGGCATAAAGTAAAACGCAGGAACAATACCAAAGAGCTGAACACGTGGCGGGAAAACCAGAGTGCGCGGAGGAAGAGGACCGATCTGTCGCTGTCACTGACAACGAGAGATGGCACAGGTTTGCCGGATCCTCTCGCGGGGCCGGGGCTCGCTGAGCAGGGGAACGCGTGGCCTGTCCACGGCGGCCTCGTCGGCCTCGTCGTCATCGTCGTCGCCACCGTCGGCAGGGAAGGCCGTGCCTTACGCCAAGACGCTGAAGGAGGACGGCGGCGGAGCGAAGGATCCCGGCGCTCCCAGCAAAGCGCTGCCGCGGCACACGAGTGTCGTCGTGGTGGGCGGCGGTAGCCTGGGCTGCCAGACGCTCTACCACCTGGCCAAGGCTGGCGTGACGGACGCCGTGCTGCTCGAGAGGGACCGGCTCACCGCCGGCACCACCTGGCACACGGCCGGTGAGTGGGCTCAGCATTGTCATCGCCGTCGTTATCATCGTTATAATTATTATGGTCGTCGGCATTGTCGCCAATATCATCATTGTCATCAATATTCTAATTATGTGCGTTGTTGGACTTATTTCGCCCCGTATGTAGCCAACCGTGCTAATCGTTGTCATCACGGTGGTTAATTTGGTGATGATTCTAGTTGGTTTTGAAGAAGAAAGACAAAACTTTAAGGTAACATGCCTCCCACCGACAGACAAATGTCCCCCTGCAAGCCGGCGCTACAGAAATCCTGAGCTGCAGGGGGGCAGCTGCCGCCGGGGGTCCACTTGGAAAAACTGCGGCAGGGCTTGGGAATGCGGCGTAGGGTGCTTTGATTTTCTTAGACGTTGAAGCACCATTTACATGAAAATCCTTTTCCATATCTTTCACGGTAAGATAGATTCAGTGGCAGTGCTTTGCATTGGTAAGTCAACAGTTGTCCTGTGAAGAGTCTGGCCCTTGCCATTGCAACCAACGGGGTTAGGATCACGATTGGTGATGAGCAACATCCGTGTCCTTGTGTGCAGTGGTGACTGTAGGTCAGCAGTTCTCCTGCTGTGTTTGTTTCACCTGATGACGGTTTCTTGTGTTGCGATCGAAACGTCATGATCTATTAATTTTCTATCTACGTGACTTTATCGAAATAACCAAAGAGTATGGATTCCTGCAGTCACGAAAGATTCAAATCAAGATTGTATGATGCTGATGCATTGTTTATCGCAGCTGTGCTGTATCGCTCTTCAGGTACTGAATTAATTTCCAGCACATGGAACGAAAAGTCAGACATCATGCCAAACAACAATTGGGGCAACCCGGAAACTCATCTAAAAATTATGATGATGATGATGACGCTGCTGATAATAATGCAATGTATAATGTGCACAATATTTAACGTATATAGATGACCACGACTGAGTTGCGGAGTCAAGCTCAGTGTGGCTCGAAAAGCCAAGGGATAGAGGTGGAAGCCTGTAATGCCTCTTAAAAGTCGGCGTGGATTGAACGCTTACTGCTGTAAATGTGCAGCAGGAGGAGTATCAGCAGTGGGATGGCAGTGGCCGCGTTCCACACGGCGGGGGGCTGCCGTGGAGAATCAACGCCCGGCAGTGGCAGGACTGCTCCTCGGTGTAGAGAGCAGGAGGAGGTTGTGAGTCGTGCTGATGCGAGCCATAGTGCGGGGTCTTCTTTTTCTCTTCATGGTCCACCGCAAAATCGCATCCACTGCACAAGCCATGGCAGCAGCAGATGTCGATGCCTGATGATGCAGAAATGGAAAATGTAAAACTCTCCAGGAGTGTTGTGACTGCGGTTATCCAGGACAGACCGTACAAACGCATGATGACGCAATGCCCGATCCACAAATATGAAGGAGACATCGCACTCCGCTACTCCTGACTCGGTTGTCTGACTTGACCCACCTGAATGTGAAATTGTAGTCGTTGCACTGCATCTACATCAGCCATACGAAAAAAGCGCAGGGTGACGTGAGGCAGAGAGAGAGAGACACGGCGGACGACCGAGCGTAGAGGCCGCGATGACAGAGGCACCGATGACGACGACGATGATGTTGTTGCCTGGGCCCCAGGCTTGCTATGGCAGCTGCGACCGAGTGACACGGAGGTGGAGCTGCTGAGGCACACGCGCCGCGTCGTCTCGGAAGATCTGGAGCGCGAGACGGGCCTGCACACCGGCTGGATCCAGAACGGGGGGCTCTTCATCGCCTCCAACCGCCAGCGCCTCGACGAGTACAAGCGCCTCATGTCCGTACGTGAGGGGCACGGCCGCCGCCGCCGTCGCTGTCCGCGTGCTCGTTCCCCAAGGCCTCCGCCGTGTGGAGGTTTTTTGCGGGTTTTGCTGCGCGGCTCTGTGCGGTATTTTTGGGTTTTTTGTCGCGCGTGGCGTGCGGGCACGATGTCCACATGCTTGGGAGCTTGTTCGGAAACTGATTAGAGTTCCAATTCAATTCCTCCTATCTCTATCGCTGTCTACCATATCCATAACTGTTTGCTATTATCTATCGCTGTCTCCTATACCTAACTCCATCTACCATCTCTAACACCTATTAATGACACTGACTCACATCTCCAATGCTGCCTCCGATCTCTAACACTGACTGCTATCTCCAACACCGACTATCTCCAACACTGACTTCTCTTTTACTGTGTAGGACACGTATTTTGGTTGTACTGCGTCTTGTTCGCCACGATGTCCGACGTTTCAGTCCGCATTCTGGGAGCTTCATCAGGAACTGAAGAAAGCAGATCACTTCGCTCCAGTTTAACCACATTTATAAAAAATTGATGGGCTGCCTCTAGGCACTCTGGTTTCCTCTCGGACAAAGCGCGGTTAACATCTCCCTTGCCTAGAATGCAGGAGGTCGTGGGTTCGATCCCGACCATGACACCTGTATATTTTGAGTTTTCATATTCTCCCTGTGGTCGCATGGATGTTTCTCTGGTTTTTCTCCGGTATTTCCCTCCACATTTAGAATCAACGTCACGCGTTTCGAGTATTTAGCTGCTATTGATTTACACGTGATAAGCCACTTCATTGAGTGATCATTTGTGGCCAGGTCTCATCTGAAAAGGAGCTGCATAGCTCAGTGGGCCTTAACTGGTCAAATAAAAAGTTTAAATAAACAAGATCTACTGGTCTACATCAGACATCAGCAGCTCCTCCTAGCTGAAGACCTTCCCCCAGCAATGGGAAGGTCATTGCAGGGATGCGCCTTTACTTTGAAATTAACATATCGTCGGATTTTCTTTGTTCAACCTGTTGGCGTGTGAATAACGATTTCCCATTTGTCTTCCATGCAAAGTGGTGCCCCTGTTGCCTTCATAACTCTTAGGAGTCTACGTAGATGGAAAGGGTACTCTGTCTTCACGGTGGAGTCAGCACATTCAGCCCACTGGTGTATTTATATAATGAAGTGCTTATCCATTTGTTTGTATTGTGTTGAACCATTAACCAACTGGATCAATATTTGAATCCAAAGAGCTAACAGTGACCGTGCACTCTTAAACCATCCACTTGTCGTTATTATTTGGCGGAGCACAAGCATCAACACTCGCGCATGCACACACGCACACACGGACTCCATGTTTAGCCTTCTAGACTGCCGGGGCAGGTGCTGCTCGTGTGTGCCTTTGAAGTCCACAGTGGCCCATTTAGAGAGGTTAGTGGAGTCAACACAGCACGCATGCCTGTGCTGTTTTATTATAAAAACAATATTAATAATCACGTGTAATCGGTAAAGCGGGCAACAGGAAGGAGACCAGAGTCAAGGATGGCAAACACAAAAGGAATTGGAAAGGAAAGAGAGAGAGAAACAAACATAATGAGGAAGTGGATGTAAAAAGGGGACCAAAAGGTGGGGAATGATGAGGATGGGGAGGAAGAGGCTCCATGAGGGCTGCTGCTGCACGGAGGAGCAGCAGAGTCTGTTTTCACTGGGGGCGGGGAGAGGGGAGTGATTCAGAATGGGGGTGGCGACGCAGAAGTCACGTGACTAACTGGAGGCGTCACCTGATTTTACATACGTAGATAATCTCTTAAGTATTAAGAAATGTTTACAGGAGGATCCTGCACTGGTATGTTATTCTTCCCAGTTGATTATTAACGCATGTTTTATATTATATTTCATGTTTTATATTATATTTCATGTTTTTTATGTTGGAGGAAACTGGAGTACCCGGACAGGACGTCACGGTGGCGAGTATACAGGAGGTTGTGGGTTCAATCCTGACCACCACATCTCCGTCATCCAATCAATGCAAATTATATTAAAAACATAATTTCGGGAGAGCAAGTAAAAAAAAACAATGTATTCCTTCACTCGAGACAGTATCATCTTAAAATTTAAGCAACCCGATTTCGGCACAGAGTACCATGACAGTTTTAAATTATGTAATCGTATGTAACCTTGTTTTAGAGAGGAGGCAAATGTTTGGTTGTATATATTGACTCAAATAAAAATCCTTTGATATGATAAATAATTAACTTTCTCATCTTCACAACATGATAATCTGTGTTGGCGACAATAAAGCAGCCATAGACTCAGATGCCAGTGTGATCTGCTATCCATTTGCATTGGTTTAACAGGGCTGACTGCTGATGAGACCCAGAATGTCAAAACCGGTCCTGAGTTTGCTTCTTTGAAGAATGTCTCTTGATAATATTTGTCTGGAAAGCTGATAGGCTGATTGGACTTAAATATATCTTTGCTTCTTTATTAAAGGTTTGCTTATATCTCGTAAAAAAAAAAATTGGACGTTTGGCGGCCGTGGAAGAGGAGTTCCTGAAGCCTCAGATCGCGGATCCACTCTCTTTTCTCTCTTTACATGAACAGTGTTGCCTCAAAGTTAACCCACGAAAAATGAATATCTTGTCCTGGTAACCCCCGCTGCCCACCCTTCGTATATATCCGCTTTCTTTGGAGTGGGGAAGGGGGGTGATGGGGGTGATCACCTCCCCCTTGAGACCTCAATTGATATTGTTTTTGTTATATTTGCCAGAAAATACATTGTCATTTATTATTATTAATGTAGGGCCCTATTTAAAAAAAACTTGAACTTTTATAACCGTCGCCGCCACCCTCTGAAGTGACATTGAATAGATTTACAAAACGGTCTGCTCCACGGTGATGACGACGACGATGATGACGGCGGTGGCGGTGATCGCAGCGGACGGCACTGACCCTCCTCCACGTCCCCCTCCCTCCGTGCCTCCAGCTGGGCAAGGCGTACGGCATCGAGTCGCACGTGCTGTCTCCCGCCGACACCAAGGTGCTCTACCCGCTCATGAACGTCGACGACCTTTACGGGACGCTGTACGTGCCGGGCGACGGCACCATGGACCCCGCCGGCACGTGCTCCACCCTGGCCCGTGCCGCCACGGCACGCGGGGCCCAGGTCGGTAGACTCCGGCATCCCCCTGGCAGTGGGCGACGAGGGTGAGAGGTGTGGCGGACGACAGAAGGGGGCGCAGGTCCAGGGGTGTGGGAGAGCCAGTGTTGAGGGTGGGTGCGGTGCAAGGAGGAGGTGTTGAGTCTGCACAGATGCAGGGTTGAGTACCGGAGACGCGGTGGCGAGATGTTAACTACCTTGCCTGGTATGGAGGAGGTCGTGAGTTCGATCCTGACCCTGATACCTGTATATTTGGAGTTTGCGTGTTCTCCCTGTAGTCACGTGGATTTTTCCCCGGGTTTTCTGGTTTTTCTCTCCATATTTAGAATCAATGTGCGAGTATTTGACTGCTAAATATTTCCACATGCTAAACCACTTCGTTGAGCTATAATTTATGATAGCCAGGTTGCTTCTGAAAAAAAGCTACTTAGCTCAGTGGGCCTTACCTGGTGAAATAAACATTACTCTTTGGTTCTTTCGGTAAAGTCACGTAGGTATAAAATAAAATAAATCACGACGTTTCAGGCGCAAACTGTTTTTAAAACAGTCTGCATCAGCAGCAGGCCATGCTGTCCCACCTGATGACGGACGCTTGTGTTGCGCCCGAAACGTGATTTATTTTAATTTATACCTACGTGACTTTACTGAAAGAACCAAAGAGTATGGATTCCTGCAGTCACGAAAGCTTCAAATCAAGATTGAAATAAACATTGTTTAGTTTTAGTTTAGACATAGAATGAGGGAGGCACAAGAGGCCTGTGTGGGAGACACGGAAAGGATGGTTTCAGGTCCGAGTGTGATGGACTCATGGAGGATGAATGAGGGAATCGAACAGAGACAATAGGGTTGAGTATACGAGACACAGGCTCCTCTTGTCGGAGACACCAGCAGTAGCCGGGTGGAATGTGGCATCACTCCGTGGTGTGCGTGGCTGCTGCTGCTGCTGCTGCAGCAGGTGGTACGGCAAGTCCTCGTTTAACCACGTGGTAGATGCCTTCCTGAAAAGTGCCGCTTTAAGCAAAAAACATTTGAAGCAAAAACCATTGCCCAATAAATAATGTAACGGGAAAGTTTGGCGAGGTGCGACAAACACTCACGCAGTGAGATAGCGGGACAAATAACTGAGGATACGCCGCCACGTTACTGTGTCATTCTGCGTATCAAACCGCTCAGCCGCGCAGCTCAAGAAAGTAGTTCGTCGTCGTCTGCTCAGGAACCGCGTCATAACGGTGCGCGTTCCACATTGTGCGAAAAGTGTTCCCTCGTGATAGAACCACGTTTTAGAGTCAAGGCGTTGTGTGAACACCGCGCGTGAAGCGAGGACTTAGCGCGGCGACCCTGTATGCGGCTGCTGCTGCTGCTGCTGCAGGTGATAGAGAACTGCGCGGTGACCGGCGTGCGCGTCGAGGAGGACGACATGGGCGTGGCGAGGGTGCGCGCCGTGGAGACGCAGCACGGCGTCATCCACACGCCCTGCGTCGTCAACTGTGCCGGTAACAGCGTCCAGTGACGGCCTCCAGTGACAGTGTCCGGTAATGACCTCCGGTTCCGCCGCCACCAGTGTGAATGGGGCGCTGCGGTGGTGAGATGTTAACTCCCTCGCCTGATATACAGGAAGTTGTGGGTTCGATCCCGACCCTGACGCCTGCTGTATATTTGGAGTTTGCGGTCTCTCTCTCCCTCTCCCTGTGGTCGTGTGGATTTCTCTGGGTCCTCCGGTTTTTCCCTCCACATTTAGAATCAACAATCATTTCGAGTATTTGGCTGCTTTACATTTCCACATTGTAAACCTCTTTAGTGGACGAATCATTTGTGGCCAGGTCGCTCCTTAAAAAGAGTCAATAGCTCAGTGGACCTCACCTGATAAAATAAAATAAAAATGTTTTATGTAGTCTAGCATAGTTTAATTCGTGTTCTGCTCATATGAGCATTGAGTTGGGGGTTCATCTCCCGTTTACAGTGCTCTGAGCCTTTGGTGGAAATTCCACGTTCCGGTCGTTAGGCAGTCTATTTGGTACAATTAATGGGTCAAAAAGGGTTCCTTCATCGGGACTACTATGGAACTTGATGTCCATATCAGGATTTTCTTTTTTCAGTGGAATCCCATTAGGAAGGGCTGAGATAGAAGGGTTGAAGGAGAGCAGAACGTGTTCTACTTCTTGCACGCTGAGAGCTCTATGATAGATGGGGCGGCATGTACACTCCTCACAGACCGAGGGGGCGGGGCACGTGGGGACAGATAGATGATGAGGAGAGGGCCCCGCTCTGGCGCAGTGGGGGAGTGGAAGTTGCGCGATGCCGTGTGCTCACCCACTGCATCGATGCGACTGGGCGCAGGACTGACCCGCAAGAGAAATTTGCACTGCGTTGTGTTGCAGAGCCATCCACACACGTTTAACAACCGCTTTCCAACACCCACCTGCGCTGCTACGCGCCGCGTATGTTCGTCGTGTTTGTTTGCCACGTGACAACTTTATTTATTGGCCATGTCGGGTGGAGTAGGGATCACGACGCACATTTCTACTCACGCGATCTGACCTGAAACTCAATTGTGAATCTTAAATGAGTTCCTGCTGCGGCCGGCTCTGGTGGAGTTCACCCTCCCACCCCCGTCCACCTGTGTGGCATGCCAGCCTCAATGGGTGCTCTTGTCTTTGCAGGGGTGTGGGCAAGGAAGCTGGGACGAATGGCGGGGGTGAATGTGCCTCTCTGCGCCATGCACCACGCGTACGTGGTGACGGAGCGCATTGAGGGAATCCAGGTGACCCGTGCGGCGAGTGTTTGTGTGTGTGGGGAGCGGTAGTGCAGTGGTTAGCGAGCTGCGCTACGAACTCGGGGTCATGAATTCGATTCCTGCTCACGGCGAACACCAGTGACGATTATCTGAACCGGTCCTGGAGCCTCTGCTCGGTTGACTTAGCCTCAGATGAGTGCGTGGTGCGGTGCGTAAAGCTCGCCACTCGGGAGACAAAAGTGGCCCAACGTGGTGCTGGCTCTCTCGTGTGCCGTGCTCACTAACGGTACTTCCCCCGAGACAGTCGTCTGTTTAGGCTATGCGGGTGATCTTTATCTTTGCGAGTGTACATAGGGTGGGTTAAACCGTTTTCAGGATCCGTCCCTGGTTCCCAAAATGAGGAGGAACTGGTGACCGATTGCAGCGGGCGCTGTGTAAGGAAGGCGCTGGCCGGCGCTGGCTGGCGCTGGCCAGCGCGCGCGAGCCTTCAACCGCACCGTCACGTTCTCGGCTGAGCCGGGAGATGGAATCGAATGCCCCACAACAACGGGAGCGCGCCGCACTGTACCGAGAGCTAGAAGCCCCGCGTGGTTCTCCATCGCTCTCTCTGAATGACCCCAAAAGGCCGATCATCGCCTTGCATCTAAAATGTCCTCGGATACCCTCTCACATTATAAGCGCAATTGATTCTGAGCCGTCGATTCTTCACGGTAACTTCACCTGCAAGTGCATTTGGCTCGTGAATCCTCGTCTGTTGAAGGTCTGTAAATAATTTGCCCGAGCCGAATTAAGACGATAGGGAATTTATTATTTGACATTGATTTATGATTCTGCAATACTTTGGTGTCACATGCGACGCAGTTTTTTTGTTCTGATTCATAATTGCTTCATTCCAGTACTTTTATTTGTTTTGTCCATTGTGGTGACTCAGGTTACACGAGCAATGAGCCTCGATTCTGGCCTCTGCAGGTCTCACCTGGTTAAGCGATAAACGGTGCCACGGTTGCTAGGAGATGTTAACAACCCTCACCTGGTGCGCAAGAAGTCGTGGGTTCGATCCCGACCCTGACGTCTGCTATATATTTGGAGTTTGTGTGTCTCTCTCTCTCATCATCACGGTGGCTAGGAGATGTTAACAACGCTCACCTGGTATACAGGAGGTCGTGGGTTTGATCCCGACCCTGACGTCTGCTATATATTTGGGGTTTGTGTGTCTCTCTCTCTCATCATCACGGTGGCTAGGAGATGTTAACAACGCTCACCTGGTATACAGGAGGTCGTGGGTTTGATCCCGACCCTGACGTCTGCTATATATTTGGAGTTTGGGTGTCTCTCTCCCCATGGTCACGTGGATTTTTCTCCGGGTCTTCCGGTTTATCCCTCCACATTTAGAAACTACATCACACGTTTTAGAGTATTTGGCTGCTATACATGTCCACGTCAAAGCCACTTCATTGAGCTATTGTTTGTGGCGAGGTAGCTTCTGAAAAAACAGAGCTATAGAGCTCAGTCTACCTTACCTAATAAAATATAAAAAAATGGTTTAATAGCAGCTGCCTCTTGTTTGTCATTTGAAGCGATGAAAACGCGATGTTTCTCGTGTGCGTTTGCTCTAGAACATGCCCAACGTTCGAGACCACGACGCCTCCGTGTACCTGCGCCTGCAGGGCGACGCGTTGTCCGTGGGGGGATACGAGGCCAACCCCGTCTTCTGGGAGGAGGTACGGAGTCCGTTACCCGCCCTCACCCCACATCACCCGACGTAGCCACACTATAGCAATGACGAGTACGAGTTATAGCACAATTTAGCACGGCACGGCAAGTCGCGCAACGCGTTTCGGGGCGCGTCACCGAGGGGCGTGCTGGGTTTCTGCTGCTGCTGCTGTGGTCTCCGAAAGCGGCAGGTCGCGGGGGGCGTGTGCCACCGCTCTCGCATCTCTCGCCTCTCTCGCCTCTCTCGCCTCTCTCCTCTGTCGCCTCTCTCGCCTCTCACGCCTCTCGCCTCTCTCGCCGCCCTCGCCACTCTCACCTCTCTCGCCTCTCTCGCCTCTGTCGCCTCTCTCGCCTCTGTCACCTCTCTCGCCTGTCGCCTCTCTCGCCTCTCTCGCCTCTCTCGCCTCTGTCGCCTCTCTCGCCTCTCTCTCTCGCCGCTCTCGCCTCTGTCGCCTCTCTCTCCTCTGTCGCCTCTCTCGCCTCTCTCGCCTCTCTCTCCTCTGTCGCCTCTCTCGCCTCTGTCGCCTCTCTCGCCTCTGTCGCCTCTCTCGCCTCTCTCGCTTCGTCGTCATTGTAGCCCCGGTGCAACACGTCGCTGTTCGGTGGGCAAGGGGCCTCTCTCACCTGATCAGAGAAGAAGTCTACGTTGTGTCCTGTTCATCAACAATATTTTGATTGGCAAACCTGCACTGGACTTGGCTCATTAATTATTCCCATTGTCAAACCCAAGAAACATCAGGCGTCTGTCGAATTCCCTTTTAAATATCCCTGGAATTAAGAATTTGCCGTTGCAGCACCATTTTGGAAGAACCTTGGTTCCTACTTAACATCGTGAATGTTCCATCAAAAAATATTCTGAAGCAGGAGATTAGTGCTGGACACAGTCACATTTGCCAACGTGATTTTTTACTTTGATCGTTACCCGTGTATCGATAGTTCAACGTTAATGTGCCATTGTATTGAGGGACTACTGCTACTGTGTGGTGTTGTCTTGCTGTGGTCTGGAACTGCATTGTTGTTATTTTTGCTGCTTTTTCCCAAGCTTAATCAATCGGAATTTTTCATGAATACATTATATATTTACTCATTTAACTCTGGTTCTTTCGGTAAAATCACGTACAAAGAAATTAAAAGATAAGAAATGTATTATTGAATTAATAAGAAATTAAATTATTATTAAATTTAATTTCTTTCTACGTGACTTTACCGAAAGAACCAAAGAGTAATTGCTGCAGTCACGAAAGCTCCGAATCTACTCATTTTTAGTTACTTTCTTACTATTTTCTCTATTTTGCACTGCTGTAACTTTGCTGACGCCGTGCCCATACTGGACATTTGTGAAACAAGAGCTTCATAGCTCATTGGAATTCCTCCTCCTGCCGTTTAAATAAACATTCTGATTGATTCTAATTCTCTCTCTCTCTCCCGCGTCGAGCGTAGGTCTCCGACAGCTTCGCGTTCGGCCTGTTCGACCTCGACTGGGACGTCTTCGCGCAGCACATCGAGGGCGCCGTCAACCGCGTGCCCACGCTCGCCAACACCGGCATCAAGTCCACCGTGTGCGGCCCCGGTGAGGCTCGGCCGTGGCGCGCCGGGGGGGATTGGCGGTGGCCCGGCCGGCCCGGCGCGCTCGCACGGTCTCTGGCGCGGCCACGGAGCTCGTGACAATTCGGGCTTCGGCGTTTCGGAGGAAAACGGGGACGGGTTTGGCCGAGTGCCGACATCCCGAGCGAGTGCCTGGGGCCTGATCGCCGCTAAACCTCGGAGAGTGAATTTACACCGAAACAAGAACGGTTTGTTTTAAAAAATCGAATCCGCTGCACCTCGTGTCAGATACTCCCACTGTGACCTCTGGAAAGTCGTGGAAAGCCCCGTCAATGATTGTGGAATCGCCAACCGGACCATCGACCACACGGCAGTTGAACCACTGTGAACTCCAAAAGCTCAGCGGAGGCATTGAATCATATCCACCACACATCAGCTGAAGCCAATTGCTGGCTAACTAATGTGGACGTAGACTTATATAACTTGTTATTCGCCCAGTCATACGTAGAGAGAGAGAGAGGGAAAGTACTGAGCCAGCACTGCTGAGAGCCTCGGTTCAAATTCGGGTTTCAGCCACCTGTCATTAAACCAGTGTCAGGAGGATTTTTGCCTGACCAATAATGACGATGCAATATTACAATGTGATTTCCTGTTCGAATGAGGATTATGACACTACTCATGCCCTGTTACACCCCTGAGCTAATGGTGGAAGCTCCATACTCCTATGGTGGGGGCGAGCCAATCCACTGTTGACTCCCCCACAAAGTGGTGCTCATTTTTATCGAGCACGGACAGATGATTGGCTGAGTCAACCTTCAAACCAGGAATTGAACTGTGAACCTTTCCTATTGCGGACCGGCATTCTCTACAGCCCATTGCTAATCTGCTGCTAGATGAAGGCTCCCCCACTCCATGGCGATGCTCCCACACTTGATCAGAGCACATGGGAAGGTGGCCTTCTTGGCCAGTAGATGGCACATCCTGCAAGTGGTCCTTGAGTTCGCAGCTTTGCCCCAGTGGCTCCCAGATTCAGTGTCCGAAGACTGCACTTCGGCAGTGATGTGGTCGAATAGTGGCGCGTTTTCTGCTAAGTTGCAGAGTTTGTGGTTTGAACCCAGCGGCTGCCATGGTTAATACCGTGAGTGTATTGACTAAAAAAATGCACGCCCTCTGATTTCACAGGCAACGCTAAAGATCCCGTGACGTTGTTCGAAGAAGAGTGGGCAATGTGTGCCGGCGTCACGGTTCAAATTGGCCAAGTTTGAAAAATATATACTCCTAAATAATTTATTCGGGTAAAACAACAAAGCAATGTCCACACCCCCTCCTCCTCCCCCCTAATGGAGGACTTTATCCATCTGTGACACAGCACCTTCTTGACATCCTTGTGCTGTAAGAATAGCACAAATACCAAATCAAATTACTATAAATGTAAAGCTGAACTTGTTTCCACGATCATGTGGTGGTGTGCATCTATATTGGTAAACTTGACCGAGTGGTCGAAATTCCACATTCCTATGACAGAGATATGCTTTTATCTTGGGCTCGACTCATTTAATAGATCAAGTTCCAGTGAGACCCATTATCTCAGGCATAGCGTTCTATAAATGTAATTACAATAATCCTATTATGGATAATAATTTAGTGTCGTGCCAAATGACAATTTCCCCCCGAAATAAATGTTTACACTGGGCAGTGCATCACTTTGTGGCGAGATGTTATCTCCCTCGCCCGGTATGCAGGAGGTTCGCGGGTTCGATCCCAGATGCCTGTTGTATATTTGGAGTCTGTGTGTTCTCTCTCCCCATGGTGGTCGCATGGATTTTTCTCCGGGTCCTCTGGGTTTTCCCTCCACATTTCGAAACATACGTTGAGATTATTTGGCTGCTACAGATACGATGCTTCTTGTTTTGGTGCCATTTCTTAATTAGTATTTTTCATTTTTTTGCTCGATAGTAAGCTTTTCATTTGCTTGGTAGTAACCGTATATAGGATTTGGTCCTTATATATAATTAATGTACAGCGTTATTGGATGCTATTAGCATGAATGACGTTATATAAAATTAAAGTATTATTATTAGATCAGTCACTTTGGCGAACTATATAGTGTGTGGCCAGGTCGCCACTAATAAAGAGCTAATAGCCCAGTGGGCTTTACTTGGTGAGTAAAATAGTTTAGTAATTTTGTGTCAGACAATAGTCCTGAAAGATGATGGCACAAACATAGCCCTGGAGTCACTGCAATTGCCTCCTATCCACACGAGATACCACATCAATTTGTCATCATCATCATCAGCAGCAGCAGGCATGGTCAATCCACAATTGGATTAAGGCCCCTTTCCAAATTGCCGCCACGTTTCACGATCCCACCATCTCCGAGGCGGACGACCTCTCAGATTCATTTCCATACCCCTGTAAAGAACGTTACGCAGAGATCAAAGTGTTATTTTGAGTTCTCAATGGGAAATTGCCAAATGAGGTGATTAACCGAATTTAATATACCGCACAACCACCGGGCGAATAAACTGTGGCTATGAGCTCGCCGCCCACACTGGACAACCCAAATCTATCATGGGCGGCTGAAACCGAAAATCAAAAACCAGGAAGTCAGTGGGCCCACTCGGTGGCACGTAGCTGCTTCTGTTATAAACTTACTCCCTGTGGTTTACCTGGCACGTTCGTTTATTAGTGGGCGTCTTTCAAATTTGATATCCGGGCTGAGGCACCTGTGTGCGGTGGCTCAATTACTCTGGTGAATAGATTGCGGTGTGGAATCGGAAAGGTCACCAGAAGCCTCATCTATTTAATTCTGACTCCTCGACGCCCGGAGCACAAGTGTGATGTGATTACAAGTCGAATAAGGTGGTGCAATAGGCAGCAAGGTCAAGAGGTCATATCGGGCACTGCCGTTGATGCCGCCATCATTCCCTTCTGCCAGACTCCCACCAACTCTCCTCTAAGGAGTGACATCTCGATCACCATCACGTGTCCATTATTCTGCAAGCTCATGGGCGATATTCATTTATAAGGCAATTACCCAAAGATCTGTACTTTATCAGATGTATTAATACCGAAATCCACCAAAAAAAATCTGTGACGTGTGTGTGATTATTCACGATTCCTAGATTTCTTACACTACTTTAAAAAAAAAAACGTTTTATGCAGGTGCTGCTGCTGCAAGGTCTTGGAACCAACTGGAGTCTCTTCTCTGAGGATTCCCGCCCTGCCATCTCTTTACTCTCTTATACATTATTGAGGTCAAAAGAATGCAAAACTACGCATTTACAGAATTGTTTGGTAAATTCATTTGGTTTTAATTACTTAATTTATATTTTTAATATCGTGTTTATTAGTGTGTAACGCTTGCTGCCGTGTCTGTTTGTTGGCCGAGTCACCCTTGAAACAGAGCCGCGTAGCTCCGCGGGTAATTTACTGGGATACTCAACTTCTCACTCTATATAAGTCATCTCTGCCATGGGTCCCCTTCTGTAGCCAGTATTGCTGACTCGTTCAGTCGCTATTGAGGTGAGGTAACGGCGTTCGCCGCTTGTTGCAGAGGTTCACGATTCGAATTCACCGGCCGCCCAGGTTATTACTGCGGTGTGCATATGAACCATAACAACATGATCCCCTGATGTAATTATGCAGGAGTCGGCCCACTGTGTGCTGGCACCAGAGTCCGCATTTGTCAAATTTTGAAAAATTGCACCACAAATTGCTCATTTGGGACCCTACGTAGAGCAACCGTCGCGCCCCTGCTCACACACTCGTGCCCCGAGTCACTCTTGTGGATGGCACTCACGCTGGTCTCATGAGCCCTCACCCGGTTCAACAAAATCAAATTGAAACTTTACTGCTTCCTCTTTGTGACACAGTCAGCGTGTCCTTCAAGGACCACTGTTACAGCCTCGTCTCCAGCTTGATGTAGTTCAACCCCCTTCTTGTTATTGCGCTCGTTTACCCAGAGGGAGCCTTGTCGAGTCTCAAGACTCTTTGTCAGGAGGGTCCTGCCAAGTTTTTCAGTCCGGGGCAATGTTGCTGGCTGCTGTATGCAATCCCAATTTAGTCAGAATCAGAATAATTATTTAGACTGGAGGAATCCGATGAGCTATGTAGGGTAATTTGCAGTGTCATTTTGTAGCATCGGGATGTTGTTTTTGCCCAATATCAGCTGCATTGTCTGGTTTTCTTTGTTAGCTATGGGAGGAAACCGGAGAACCCGGAGGAGACAATAGGAGATCAATAGGAGAATGTACAAACTGCACGCACAAAGGCTCCCCAGTCGGGAATTGAACACAGACCCTTTTTGCCGTATCGACTTTGGGCGGCAGGGTGGCACAAGTGGGGGACGCTGTAAACACAGTCCACGCGCCATTCAAAGACCACTCTCAGAGTTTCATCATTATCATCATCAGCGAGCTTGAATTAACTCAATCGTCATAATCAGCCGTGTGCAATCCACTGCTGGATGACGGTCTCCCCCCAAGCTGCCGTCACCTCGCACAAGAAGCCGAGTCTCATCGCCCCGTCTCACCGGCAGACGTCCCGTCGGACGCGTCCAGTTCCTTTGGCCTACACTCCATGACTAATGTTATTCGTCGGCCATCATCCCTGCGAATGACAACACAGGAACATCAGGAGATGGGGCACCATAGCAATGATGGTGAGCTGAGGGGCGAAACCGTGCCCTCTGGGTGTGCTCAGCGGTGTGGACTGGCCACATTGCATGGATATTAAAGAACGTCGCATTCCCCTGGCCAGATTAAATGTCACAGATCATTGCGTGCGTGCGTACGTGTGTGTGTGCCGGCTTGTCACCACGTAATCATCCCCCGGGGCCACCTAGAGACCAATGCACAGGCGCAATGAGTCCTCAGCCCTGCTACGCTGGTTTGTGGAAGATGGAAACCAAAACGAGGAAGAAGGGTCACAGATACGCGTAGATTCTGTAATGCGGTTCCAACATGCGCTTGTCTTTGGAAGTTTTTATTTGCGGTACCTGGGACAAAATGCGTTTGCTCATTGCTACTCATGCTTTTAATGCTGGTTTGTGTGTCTTTAGAGTTTGGTCAACCCTTTTAATGATCTTGACTTAAAGCTTTCGTGACTGCAGGAATTCATGTAGAACAAAAAACTCCGACGTTTCAATCGCAACCTGATGACGATTGCTTGCATTGCGATCGAAACGTCGTAGTTTTTTGTTAATCTTTTTGTTCTACGTGAGACTTTACCGAAAGACCTAAAGAATACCTTTTAATGATTTCTCAAGTGCTGCCCGTTAGTTCAGTGATAGGCAACCTAGACTAGTTAGTGGGCCACGTGAGCAGCCTTCCTTCACTTCAGTAGGCCGCAAGCTTGACGTGGTGCTTGTGCACTCATTATCATGACCTCAGGCATCACCCTCGACACACTGAGACCAGGCCACCACGAGGGGATCCACCCTGGACACACCTAGACCAGGCCACCACGAGGGATCCACCCTGGACACCTAGACCAGGCCACCACGAGGGGATCCACCCTGGACACACCTAGACCAGGCCACCACGAGGGGATCCACCCTGGACACACCTAGACCAGGCCACCACGAGGGATCCACCCTGGACACCTAGACCAGGCCACCACGAGGGGATCCACCCTGGACACACCTAGACCAGGCCACCACGAGGGGATCCACCCTGGACACACCTAGACCAGGCCACCACGAGGGGATACACCCTGGACACACCTAGACCAGGCCACCACGAGGGGATCTACCCTGGACACACCTAGACCAGGCCACCACGAGGGGATCCACCCTGGACACACCTAGACCAGGCCACCACGAGGGGATCCAGCCTGGACACCGAGACCAGGCCACCACGAGGGGATCCACCCTGGACACACCTAGATCAGGCCACCACGAAGGGATCCACCCTGGACACAACTAGACCAGGCCACCACGAGGGGATCCACCCTGGACACACCTAGACCAGGCCACCACGAGGGGATCCACCCTGGACACCGAGACCAGGCCACCACGAGGGGATCCACCCTGGACACACCTAGACCAGGCCACCACGAAGGGATCCACCCTGGACACACCTAGACCAGGCCACCACGAGGGGATCCACCCTGGACACACCTAGACCAGGCCACCACGAGGGGATCCACCCTGGACACAACTAGACCAGGCCACCACGGGGGGATCCACCCTGGACACACCTAAACCAGGCCACCACGAGGGGATCCACCCTCGACACACCTAGACCAGGCCACCACGAGGGGATCCACCCTGGACACACCTAGACCAGGCCACTACGAGGGGATCCACCCTGGACACACCTAGACCAGGCCACCACGAGGGGATCCACCCTGGACACACCTAGACCAGGCCACCACGAGGGGATCCACGGGCCGTAGGTTGCCCCCCACTGCTTTACTATATTGACCAGAGGTCACTTAAAGAAGGGGTCTCAGAGGTAGCTCTGTGATATCTACATCTGTCGGCTAATCTCTGACACGAAGGGGCTGCACCGCTCTGAGACAGTTCCGAACAGGCATTTCGCCTCAAGACCTAATGGCAATAACACAATTGGGATTTCATTGGGGAAAATTACAATAATAATAATACAAAAGATTTCTACTTTGCGAAAAGTTGACAGTGTTTTTCCTCTGGACATGGGAATGTAGAATTTCCACCACTGGCTCAGTATTGCTGCATGCTTTTTCGAGACCAGCACCATCACGTGCTCGTGTGAAATAGTGAGGCACTTGGGACTTTTTGTACGGTGTTTCTTTAACGCTGTGAAACATTGTGCACGTGTTCTCCCAGAATCCTTCACTGCAGACCACAAGCCTCTGCTGGGAGAGTCGCCGGAAGTGCGTGGATTTTTCCTTGGCTGTGGCTTCAACAGCGCAGGTGAGGGCTCTCATGCTCTGCATCTCTCTCACACTCACTCTCATGCACTCACACTCATGCACTCACATACACACATTACCTCAAACAATCACTCTCGCATTCACTCTCACATCTGACCTCACATTCACTCTCACACATCCACTCTCTGGATTAAACAACCGGAGTATGAACCACGGCAGCCGCGGGCCTCGAACCACGGACTTCTTGAACAGGCGGCATGATGGCTAGTCCAGCGCTGTGGAGGCTGTGAGTGTTGGTGGATAACACAAACTCGTGAAACTAATCACAAACGCCCCACCCGTGTGGCATCAAAGTCACAATCTCCTGGCTTGCCAGGGTATGATGGCAGTAAAGCACGAGGGTTTATTTCCACCTGTTTCCATCTGTACGGGGATTGTGCGTTTACCCCACACGCACTTGCGAATTTCTCCAGGTTTTCTCCAGTTTACTCTATAATCGACTCATTAAATCGAGTTGGTCAAACGAACCAAACTAGGACTACAGAGCTTGGGAAATTCTTGGCACCCGGTTCTGCATGCCTTCCCGTTTGCCTGTGATTCCTCATGCCTCTACATCACTCGTTCTCTGAAAAGGAACAAAAACTGTGCGCTTAATAAAAACTATTTCTTCTTATTTTACAACATCTGTGAATAGAGTTGAAACTTAATAACAAGTGCATTCCAGTAATATTCAACAGGGTCTTGCGTCACAGAGGAGTTTTTCAAAATGCAGGCGAGGTAAAATGTGTATCCTCGGAAGCCCCAAATGTTTACTTGAAAATAAAAAAATAAATGTTTTACATATAATTCAGTGAAGATACGCATAATAAAGAGTGAACGGATTCAAGTGGACATGTTTCTGCATGATGTTGGAAACAGAATTAAAATTTTCAGTGAGATTAATTTGAATTGAGGTAGAAGCTTTAATTCATCGCAATCTCTGACGTTAATATTCGACCAAGCTAAGAGTCTTAATAGCTCATTAAATGTCACTTGTGGGAATACATTTAAGAGGAGAATTAGATGCAGTGTTGTGCTCGCTATGAACTGCACTGTGGAAGAACGAAACGTTTCAAGATTTAGAATTTACTTTTGGGATGTAAGGCAGGAAAACTTCGAGGCATGTCTTAAAATAGTTAATCGTGGAAATGTATTAATGCAGATAAACTGGTTAGTAATGCCTTGGTAAAAGTGTAGTGACATGGAATGTGTCACTATGGAGCATAGCGTGGGTTGCTGATAGAGATGGGGATCTGCGGTTGCAGCAGCCCTGTCTGTCAGCAGGTCACGTGACAAGCAGAGGGAGGGATGTAGGGCAAAGGTGATAGAGGGGGCACGTGAGGTGAGCCCGGGAGCCACGAGTAGGTTCAGGAAGGGGGGCGTGGCCCGGGGGCGGAGCGAGGCCACGCCAGGAAGATAAAAGGGGACACCGAGAGTCTGGAGTGGATCTCCGCGGGCTGCTGGAGTCTTCGTCGCCGTCGTTACCTTCTCGGCGTCGTCAGTGAGGCAGTCTGCCAGCTGTCCTGACTGAAGTGTACCTTGTGAAGGCTATAATACATAGAGTGCCTCCCACTCCTAGTGTCTCTAAGTGTATCACTACAAATGTGTAAAATACAAACTTAGGCTAGTGCATATGTCTACGTGTGGACAACAGGAGGTCTAACTACAGAGATCACAGAGATTCGTGGAGTCGTTCTCATTTGGAATAAAGTACACAAAGGCAGCCAGAACCCGCATCAACAATTACTCAAGCTCTGTGGTCCTATATTAACATGATGTGCCAACTCCACTCATGAGTGTTTCATACACGTGGGGGGAAACCGGAGTACCTGGGGAAAACCCACACGTGTGAGGGGAGTGACCCTCAATCCCTGCACAGGTGGAAATTGACCCGCTTGCTGTACTGCAATCACATCCTGGCCAAACCGTAAGATGGCGACCTCAACTCCCACGGGTGGAGATGGCGTTTCACCGGTGTGTGCGTGATCGACCAACCCTTACTTCGACAGTGCTGGATTACAGGTCAAGTGCAGCATAGCCACAGGCGAGCTGGCAAATGTTGAGCCCTCTGCAGCGTCCGGTCACTCAGGCAGCAGCCTCGGGCGTGCAGCTGGCACAACGAGTGGTGGGCAATGTAAGATGGCGAATCTCCCAGTCACTGGAGTCTCTTAACCCTCAAGACCTGGGTCTGTCACGTGATCTCTTGCTGGTGAGCCCGCGGCACTCTGTGTACGGAGCCAAGCGCGGGCGCCGTGGTGACATCACCGCCACTCGGTGCATCTGATGCGTGGTGTGGTGCGGTGCGCGTTTTGCGTTGATGCTTGCGAAGGGATGATGCTGGGAGGTGGCTGTGGCCAGGAGCTGGCTCACTGGATCATTCACGGACGCCCGGAGAAAGACATGTTCAGCTACGACATACGGTAGGGAACGCAACGCATTGTCATGCGAGACGATGGAATACAACGTCGCATATCCGACTCCCTGGGGCCATAGGGCTGTGGGTGGATATGTGAAAAGGTCAGATACGTGAATATCGCCTGCACCTATTAGGAAACCACTGGAGCTATGCACTTTTAAATCTTGATTGAAAACTCATTTCTTTAGAACTGATTTTTGTATTTAGTTTGTTGTCCTTCCCCTCGCACCTCCGATTAGCTCAGTCGGCTACGTACGGCACGAAAGAAGTTCAACGTACGTACATACATCTCACCACTGCGTCACCCTCAATACGTACGTGTGGTGCGTGTTCCCCCTCTCCCCGCCCCGCCCCGCCAGACGTTTCCACGGCTCCATGACGAATAACAACCGCTGGATTCGCGAGCGGAGTCACGAGTCGTACGCCAAGAACTACTCGGTGGTCTTCCCGCACGACGAGCCGCTGGCTTCCCGCAACGTTCGCCTCGACCCCTTCCACAAGGTCGGCTCACGCTGGGGCGGCAGCGCAGCGGGAACCGATTGTTGCCACGCAGCATTAAGAGCCTGGGTTCGATTCCCAGCTTGTGGGAGTTGGGATGTCCTCTTCCCCCCCGTTTTGTCCTGTTTCTCTGGTTTCCTCCCATAGCTAGAAAATAAACAGCATGCGCAATGGAACTGGTTTTGGCCAAAGCATCCAAATGCTGAAAAATTAACCTGAAAATTTACTAAGTTGGGATTAAATGCAGCACCAGCAGTGGCAGCAGCAGCAACGTCGCCTCTCTACTTGCAAAAAAATAATCTCAAAACTCAGTGAGGCTTTACTGGGTAAACAAGCTGAAGAGTAATAAGAATAATCATAACACCGCCGGCACTAACCTCACCGCCGCTTACGTCACAATCCGTGGTGCGTTCATCCGGCCGGATGTTGCCATGGTCGTAAAGTTCAGCTCTCGGACAAGTTTCGGGTCGTGCCGCTTGTTGTTCGGCACGATGTCCGACGTTTCGCTCCATGTGCTGTGGTGGTGGGAGCTTCAGGAACTGAATTCAGCAACTGGAATGTCAGATGATAGACCCAAATTTAATTTAATATTCTTGTCCGTTAATGCACTGTCTATCAAAAGTTACATAACTTTTAAGAACAACTACGAATCAACAGATGCTGTTTTGTATCAAGTTGGAAGCTGTAGGACATCTATGTATGTATGTTGAACTTATTTCGCACCGAACGTAGCCAGCCGTGCTAATCGGAGGTGCGGGGGAAAGACAAGAAACTAAACACAAATAGCATTTATAAAGAGAGTGCGTAGCTCCAGTGGCTTCCTAATATCGTAAGGAAGAGCATTCCAGACGGCCGCACAAGCTCATCTGAAAGTGCTCAATGCGGTGAGCATCTTTGTTTGCTGGTTAGCCACAAGCTGCTGCGAGGATGACTGAAATTTGCGTGATGATGTTTTATGTTCCTTGACGAGATCAGCGAGGCATCGTGCTTCATGTGTGGCGATCACTTTGTGTGTGATGAGTGCGACCTTACAATGTGTCCATGCGGCAAACGGAAGCCAATGCAGCTCGGCGAGCACCGGGGACGGACACGGTCGCATCTCGAGGTGGGCATGCGGAGTCTGCGCGCGTGTCGCGACGCAGCTCCAAATACTTCACCGTGGCCTCGCCTGTTTTAATAACTTAAACAAAGACAACGCTGCTGCATTGGCAGTGGTTCACAAGCACAAATAAGCAAATAAATCGGCATGCTCGTCAATAACAACACTGCCCTGGAGAGGCAAACATATATACATACACACACATACATATATATGTATATATACACACATATATTATATGAGGTGATGTTTAGCTGTCTCTGAATTGACGTTCCTTAGTATAGAGACGGTTTGAGCAATGGCCTTCGTCCCATCGTCATCGCAAGGAGATCTAAAACGTCCCTCTGCCACGCACCGTTTGCTCTGCAGGTCAGTGTTGTTGACAAACATTTTTATTTATTTTTGTGCACATGAACCACTGCAAATGCAGCAGCAGCAGCTGCAGCAGCAACAGCGGCAGCAGCGGCAGCAGCGGCAGCAGCGGCAGCATTTCTTGCTTTTGTTTAATTGAGTAAAAACAGTCTGCTTACTGAACGGCCTGGGATTCGCATCCATACCCGTACAAGCGTGACGACTGTCTGCACCATCTGCATCCGAGATGCAGAAGCACACGTTATATCGGCCACAAGGAAATAAGATTGCTGTCGATTATTTGTCTTTATACAGAGACCTCCTCTATTGAAGGAAAACTTCCTGGGACGCGTGTTTTCCCGACATAATGGATCAAGGCTTTGTCAAGAGCTCGTTTGAAAAAAATAAAGCAACAAACGACCAGCCCCGGTCACGTGACCCTGCCCGGTGCAATGCGAGGAGTCGGCGGCGCCGCGGCTGTTAAAGGTCACGGCGCGCCGATCGTCGGGAATAATTTTATGCTCGGGGAGTCTGGTCCGGTGACCCCCAGGCTCCACGTGTCCCCCAAAATAAGTGAAAACCTTCACAAGGGCCAATCGAGCGGTGGAGGGGGCGACGACTAACGGAAGGAGGCCTGAATAAACCCAGCGGGCGCACGTCTTCGCAGTACATAAAAACGACGAATACGTAATGTAGCGTGACACACCTCAGTGGAGTAGATAACTGCGGTAGCTAGTTTTTATTGTTATTTTACAGTGTTCCTTTGAATCTCCGTGTGTGTGTTTATTCCGCGTTGAATGTGTCAGTTTTGTCGACGCGCACTCTCCCTATAGTCACCGTGCATATTTGTGTTTTGGAAATGTTCCTAGTTTATTATATAAAATACGCTCGGACACGTTGTCTAGTTTCCTACAAAGCAAAGCCTCAAAGTTGCTTTTTCCCCCCAGCACTGCGCTGGTTTGGGATGTTTGGTAACTTCTTTTGTTTTTTGTTTTGTGCGTGGGCAGAAACCCAATACCCAGTGGTGCGGTCATAAGACTCTAACGTCCACACAGATGGGTTCACGAACCCCACCTCCTGGCCACTTCGCAGACAATTTGGCTTGGGGAATTTTGCAAATGTGCGTGATCCACCTGCGTCCGAGGCACTGGATCGTAGGCGTGCGTAGCTAGCGAGCCGGCTCGGACGCTCTTGATGCATCTGTTTTTTTTTTCACTGTGACACAATGGGAGCACGGTCCGATGCCGCTGATCGCCATTGGAAGGGAACAGAAGTTCCGAATTGGGCTCGGCAGGACCAGTACCCAGGGAGGTGGGGATCGGACTCGCTGTCCCGACCAAGTGGGGAACCACGCGCAGGGGATGTGGAGGATTTATATTTAGAGGGAGAAGGGGGAAAGGTAACTCACATGCCGAGGGAGGGCTGGGGAGAGGAAAGAGGAGATCTTGATGTGTCTGTTAATCTATCAAGCATCCGAGATAGCCTGAGACAATCCTGCTTTTCATATCCCAGATAATCTGAGATTATCAAGGCCGTCGTATCAATACAGCATTTGTATTCCCCCCGTCAGGAATACCCCCGGTTTGGTGAAGGCAGTCAATGCAGCACTGTTTACACGATCGTTGGTCCTGCACTGGTTTGTCTTTACGGTGTCAAGGTCCACGTTCCTATGGCAGGGACCGACCTTTCCCTAAGACATCCACTGTTGACTTCCAGCAAAGCTGTGGTGCCTCATGTCGACCTTTGAACTTAAAAAAAACCAATGTATTTACAACAACAACAGTGACGACCGGGAGCAGTGGTGCTCGTCTCCCTGAGCTGACATGCACAGCAGGGGCTCAGACGACGTCTCCCAGCAGCACTGACCGACCAAGTCGGAGGTAACGAGAGGGCCGGAGGAGAGAGGGAGCGGGGGGACGAGGCATCAACATTTAAACCCCTTGACATTTCATTTGCGAGTCAAACGCTCCGACGACAGCGGCACTCGGCCACAATGTTGGGCACGCAAAGAGCGCCCGTTTGGGATGGGGGAGCCTGGAGGGGGGGGCGGTGGAGGGGGGGGGGGGGGTTCGAGCAGCCGCGTTGAGAGCTCCGGGCGAGTTGAGTTGACATTTAATCAGGCCCTAATGAGATGAGATGCCGAGCTGATTGCAAGAGGATTTAAATTATCTTGTGAAGGGGATGGAGAATCCCTCTGCCATTAATGCTTGTGTCAGGGTGTGGAATTTAGCTTGAAGTGATGCCAAGGTTAGGCGCTGGGGTGGGGGAAGTTAATTAATTCCTTAATTCATTAAATTATCTTTACATTACACGTGGTCAGGTGCCACTGTGGTTAGAGAGCGTGATTCACATCCGGACGTGTGTGGGTTCAAATCCTGCTCAGTCGGAACCTCGGCTCGTGATCCCTTCTGGGGTGGTTAATATATTCCTCTCCACTTGCTCTGCTCTCCTCCGCTCACTCTCCTACCTCTCCCCTCTCATCTCACTCTCCTCCCCTCCACGCTCTCTCCTACCTCTCCCCTCTCATCTCACTCTACTCCCCTCCACGCTCTCTCCTACCTCTCCCCTCTCATCTCACTCTACTCCCCTCCACGCACTCTCCTACCTCTCCCCTCTCATCTCACTCTACTCCCCTCCACGCTCTCTCCTACCTCTCCCCTCTCATCTCACTCTACTCCCCTCCACGCTCACTCTCCTGCCTCTCTACCCTGAACTCAGTCCAATTCTCCTCCATGCCCTCTCCCTCTGCAATGGCACAACCTGTGGAATTTGATATCGCGGGAACGTATTTCCCGACCTTTCCCCGGTTGCCTCCTCTCCACACTAGGCCGTGTCGCCTCCTCGCTGGCTCCTCTGTGAATGTGTTGGTCACACGCCAGTCGAATTGAAATGTCTACTCCTCTGACCTGCAGTCAGACAGTTTAAGTGACTCACAAATATTAATAACGGGGGCCGTGGGAGTGGGGGGGGGGTTTGTTTTGACAGTCATCGGTGACTGCTCCATTGTAAAACCCCACGTTGATTCACAGCTGGCTGGAACCCAGTACTCGAGTCAAGAGCTGCATGGCTCACAGGGTTATACCTAATAAATGAAAAATAAACAAAATAAATTCAAAGCCAATACTCGAGCCAACAGTGATAATTGCTGACATCGGTCCAAACCCGATGCACAAAAGACTGCTGGCTGGTGTAAGTGCTTATGTTTAATTTCATGTGTATCTGTGTGTGACTGGGGAGACAAAGGCGGCCGGGCGTGGTGGTCAGGCCACACCATCCCTCGGTGCACCGTGCCTGCCTTCATAGGTGCTCGCTAACAGCACTTGACCCAAACAGTCTAAAAAGCTACGCAGGGGATCCTTTGTCTTTTTATTGTGGTTGTATGGTGCCGATTAATTAGTTCGCATTCTATTCCAAATATGATTCAGAACTAGTTATTATTGGTGTGTGTATATACCCAGGAAAGCCTCATTGAGTCCGAAGACTCTTTCCAGAGACTCCTGCCAAACTGTTAAAGTAGGTGGCAATGTCATTGATCAGTGTTCAGATGTTTGGCCAATGTCGGTTACCTTGTCGGGTTTTATTAGCTACTTGCCTTTTGCCCGTCCAAGGACGGGTGAATGGCAGTAAATCTGAAACTTAATAAAGAATTAGAAGCTTTCGTGATTGCATAAATTACTCGTTGTTTTTTTCGGTAAAGTCACGTATGTAGAAATACAATAAAATTATATTAAAATAAATCACGACGTTTCGACCGCAACACAAGCGATCTTCATCAGGTGTAAAAAACAAATAGCGAGGGAGCACATAGGATGACATCAACGCAACACATAGAGAGCGTTAAACTTACACGGAGGTAAATACAACAAGAAGATGAGAGACGAGAATTCAACAAACCTAAGAAAAATTACGTGATGCAAACCAGTCGGCCAACAACACAGTTAGACACTTGCCTGGCGGACCACGAATTTCAGAAGAGTAATTTATGCAGTCACGAAAGCTTTAATTCTTTATTAACACACTTCTACGGGGAAGTTACCTTTACAATTCTGTCCTAAACTTATTGCCCTGTGTTGTCTTTTCTTCGAAGTGCCTCATAGTGCTTCGTCTTTTGTGTTTTGTTGACCGTGGTTTGTGTTTGTCTCTATGCTTCCGTCTGCTTCCGCCCGCGCCCTTGCGCCCATTCCTGCCCTCGGCCCCTCCCCCCACCTCTGCTGCTTGTTTAAGCCTCTGTCTGTTCATCCCTCCGGCCCTTTTCCTTGCTTCTCTGTCCGTCTTTCCTCTTCTTGCCTCTTGGTGTCCCTGTATATGTATTTCTGCTACCTTGTACCTCGTATTTGTTCACTCTGTCGATGCTGGTGTGTTCAACCCAGAGGGTGAACACGAAATTTAGCACTCTTCTGAAATTCGTGGTCCGCCAGGCAAGTGTCTAACTGTGTTGTTGGCCGACTGGTTTTGCATCACGTAAATTTTTTCTTAGGTTTGTTGAATTATCGTCTCTCATCTTCTTGTGGTATTTACCTACGTGTAAGTTTAACGCTCTCTATGTGTTGCGTTGATGTCACCCTATGTGCTCCCTCGCTATTTGTTTTTTACACCTGATGAAGATCGCTTGTGTTGCGGTCAAAACGTCGTGATTTATTTTAATATAATTTTATTGTATTTCTACAAACGTGACTTTACCGAAAAAACCAATGAGTAATCTGAAACTTGCAAGCGAAAAGCAGACCGCGAAGTGATATATTCATTGCATCAATTCGTGTGAAATTTGTAAGGGCGCAGTGACACAGACTTATTTCATTTAAAGTTTATAATCCCTTGTTCGTCATGACGTCCTTTTTACTTTGATGTCTCAACATCGTTACGGAGATCGTGTGACGTGAGGGTTCTGCCTTTGTAGTGAGGGTTGTGAGTTGACGTCGAGGAGTGGGGAGGAGGCGCCTCGCCCCTCATGTGGAGTGAAGTCAGCCGCTAATTATTATTGATGGGGGGGGGTGTCCATTTGGAAGATGTCACCTGTTAATGATTATTAATGAGGGGGGCTGTTCGATGTGGAGTGACGTCACGCGCGGGACACATGGACATTCTCGGCTCATTATCGTAATAAATGGGCAGAAACCGGAGATCCCGTAGGAGACCCACGCAGAACACGGGGAGAACATCCACACTCGACACAGCACGGGATCCGAGTTGAGTATCGAACCCAGGCCCTTCTTGCCGTGAGGTACAGGTGTTACCGCTGCACCACCCTGCAGCCCACTCCGATACCTCCACGAGTGGTGTATGCATTCATAAGGTGAACAACTGAAGGTTAGTACAAGTTGGTGGGGTCACACCCGATAGCTCATTCCCCCGCGGGTCGACGATTGATGTCGAGGGATTATAAAAACGGTGCGAAGTCGGTTGAGGTCCCTCTTGTGTGTGTGTGGACGGCGAGCATCAGTTAGACCACCAGTGGGTCCACCCCACTGACGAGTCCAAGCATTGTCATGGCACTTCACTTGTTAAGTATATAGCGAGGAGTGGGAGGGCATATGGTGGAGCAGTGTGGTAGAGCGCCGCACTACAAATCCGGTGAGCTGAGTTCAATTCCTGAACACGGCTAACGTTGTTGCGCGAGTGATATCCTAGCCGGTCCTGGACATCTGCCCCACTGGTTCACCAACCCGTACTGACTAGCGTGGTGAAGTATGGTCAAACAACGCCATTAACTAACATGGCTGACATTATTCGTAATTATTATTACGAGTGTGTATTAAAGAGCAATGCAATATTATGTTTTATGATTTCCTTGCATGATCCCTTGATTGATCTTTTTTACACGGGTGTCCTAGGGTGGCACGGGACACATGCACACAGATAGCCAAACGCTTCATGAGACATTACAGACGTTTTATAATCCACAACAGATGCTTGAAAACACGGTGATATTAAATTTGTTAAAATAATATGCTTTTCCTAAAACAATGTCGAGGATTGTTGTCGTGATGCCCATAATCCTCGCCAAAGCTTTGAATTTAATTGCCGGCTCATTTGTGACTTTGGCGGCCACTGCATGAGTTAAATTATTATTCCCGCTTAATTAGAGCTAAATGGGACCTTGCACTGAAATCCAAACACAGCCAAATGTCAACGGTGCATGCCTCTTGAAGTTCTCGCCAGCTTAGAGAATGTGAGTGAATACTTAACGCCTGCTCCCCACAGCAGAACGGATGTTTTGGAGGTTTTCCGCGCTCTCTTCTTTAAAGGCAACGTCTTCACATTTCTTAACACTTCTCCATTGAACCATTTTGTTGGTTCAGCGGCTCTTAATTTTTCGCAATTTATTTAATCCCCTGGCGACGCTCGTTATGTCCTCGATTACAAAGCAAGACGGAGTGGCACCGTAGGAGGGAGGTTGTGGCCTTGGCCGGGCCTTTGCGGGTCACGTTCGTTTTCCGGTGGTATTGAAAAATCAAAGGGACATTTCACGTCACATCTCTTGGCATGCCTCTAAAACGATGATGATTGTTTTGATCATGATGATGTTGATGATAGTAATGATTGTTGTTATCACGATCGGGATTATGGTGGTATTGATGTCGTTGAAGATGGTGGTATGATGATATTATTTAGTCGTGGTGGTCGTGGTATTGGTGAAGCCAAAGAATGCGGTTATAATAATGATGGTCATGTTGATAATGAGGATGGTCATGGTGATTGTTATAATGATAAAGATGGTGGTGTCAACGTTGATGGTGGTTGATAGTGATGACAATGATGGTGGTAGGGGTGGTAAAGGTTGTTGTAGTTGTGATGGTGATTTTGGTGGTGTGGACGATGAAGACTGGTAGTTATGTTGACGACGACAACGATGACGGTCGTAGTCGATGATGGTGGTAATGTTGATTATAATGGCGGTGGTGTTGATGATGAATGCGGTGTTAGTTGTGATGACAATAATAGTGTTGTTCGAAGTTGATAGTGATGATGGTGATAATGGCCATGATAACGATGATGGTGGTGGTGGTCATTATTGTTGTGTTAATGAAGAAATGTTGAATGATTGTGTTGATGACGGTTATGCTACTGCTGCTCCTGCCGATGATGATTATGCTGATGACCATGTGATCCTCATGGATTTACTCTTTGTTGATTTTGAACAGGTTCTGCAGCAGCAAGGCTGCGTTTTCCAAGAGCGTCACGGGTGGGAGAGACCTGGATGGTTCAACTTGGAAGGAGCCGCTGCCGTACGTGTTCAATTGTTTTGCATCTCATTTCCCTCCGTCACGACCCCGCGCAGTTGCGTTGCAATTCTTACGGCGCTTTGAGACGCAATTTTGCGTGCATCACGCCGCTCTTTGCAAAATGCAAAATGTTTATCGCTATCGAGCAATAGGGCAGCACAGCAGGCAGAAGTTTCCCACCTGAGTAAAGCCCAAAGAGCTGTACAGCTCTTTTGCTCGTGAATGCGTATTCATAAATATGTATAAATATGTCATATGTATTCATAAATATGTATAAATATGTCATATATATTTCACTTTAAAGTCTTTTTTGTTCTCATTAATGAAGCTTTAAACTGCGCTCTTACAAACTAAGAGGTTCATAATAAAGGTTATTGGGTTAGATCGCGTAACATAAATGTGTCGGAACCCTCCACCACCCGACACAGTCAATTAGTAAGGGATTTGTCACGTAGACAAAACGTCAAATAGTTTACTACTTCAGCCCACCGGCGTGTTTGAAAGTAAATCCACAACATTTACAATGTGAGTAGCACGACGTTTTGCTGTTAATTCCATCCAGCATCATCGCGCAATTTGCCAGGTGGAGCAATCCACCTGATTCTCCGGAGTTCTTTAGAGCAGCAGCAGCAGCAGGCCGACGTCATCACTGGACCCGTCAGGTGCAGAGATCAGAGGCGGAGGAGGGGGGGGGGGTATTTGAACTTCTAGGTCAGGGGTGGCCAACCTGGAACAGACCGAGAGTTAAACAGTACCCAGGCGTTCCGCAAAGAGCCAAGTGATAATATATATCTGCGTGTGTGTATATATATTGATAGTTGTCGCCAGAGCACGGGAGACATCCGCTATTGTTTGCTACGCCTGTGGTAGTGGCGCGTTCTACGTGACGCCCCTTCCACAGAGCCGCGTGTGGTGGATCAGCTTGCGGCTCGGGAGACGGAAGTGAGCAGTGGTCGAAATGTGAATGTAGAATTGCCGCTGTGAAACCTGCTTGTCCTGCTGTAGGCCATGCTCACCCCGCTTCCCCTCCACGGGAACGTTTGGCGTCATGGGCGTAGAAGGCGTTCTGTCAACGTGCCGGTATTCACGCGTGCGTACGTACGTACGTTGAGCTTCACCGTACAAACTAAACACAACTGTTGTAAAGAGATGAGTTTGGTGTCGTGGACAGTGACCGGCGTGGCCTACCATCTCATACCGGCACATCTTGGCCACTGAGTACTGGTTCATCGCAACGCAATTGGCACGGATAGGAAATCGCGTACGTCCATGCGCATGCTGCCATGTGTAAGGGTGTGGGTCGTCTGGGTTTTGGTATTGAGTGAAGTGCCAGCGATGCCAGGGTTAGCGAGCTCTTCCGCCAGCAACGCCTTCATCATTCAAACGGCGATTGTCACCGGGTCTCTGACGGCCACTCACGTGATGTTATCCCACTTCGCAGGAGTCGGCGTGCTCTGATCATTCCCCGTCCTCGTGACCATAGCAGAGCTTGAGCGCTCGCTGAACATTTGCCGGGTCGCCGATATACTGGAGTACGGCGGCACCTCCGATTAGCACGGCTGACTACGTACGGTGAGAATGCAGCTCAACGTACAGGCATACGAGGCTCGTAGCCAAAGCCATAGGGAGAGGCAAAGTGGATGTGATACGCCGGGCACGGGAATATTTCACTGGTTCACCGACCTGGATGGAATCGGCCGGAACAAAGCTCCGAGTGCCGTGCACCCGGAGCGTTCCCCTCCTTTACCGAGTGACGCCGTAGCAAGCGCAGCGAGGGCCGAAGCGCAGAGAACCCGGCCGCACGCCAATCATCCCAAATGACCACCCACCCCGCCCACCCCACCCCTGGAAGAAGACATCATTCGTAAGTGTTGTGTGTTCGTGTATTGTGCACCAAGCGAGGAGCGGCAGAACGAGCGAAGGGCTGGAGACCCGGTGAGCTGGATTGATTTCCCTGCTGGCGGCTGCGATTTGGCAACGTTTGATGCCTCAAGTCCGTCGCAGCCAAAGCGGCGTTCGCGGCCGACGTTTTTCCGCAGGAGAATTAATTAATTAATTAATCATTGATTGGCTCATTCCATTGTTAATCATCGGCGCCAGGGGTGGGGGAGATTAGTGGACAACAATCTCATCATGATGGCGCAATTCCTTAAATACCATGCCATCATGGACATTTTCCACCACTCTCTGAAGGGCCGCCAGCACAGCTGTGCCAACCCCCAATGTGTGTTTCAGATAAGGGGGCACTTTGACTTTTTGAATTGGTTAATTGTCAAGACAAAATAATTGTTTTACTTGTGCCACGTTGAGCCGTGAGCACAGTAAAGCACTGTAACAGAAATTGATATAAGCGAAGTTCACATCTGTGATAAATATTACAGTGCTTACTCAGTTGGTGGGATGGGATGCGTGTGTTTGTCTCTGCTCACGGGAATCGCCGATGCGAGGTCGAATTTTATAAAAGGGGGAGCGGTAGCGTTGTGGTTACAATGCTGCGCTACGAACCCGGCGACCCGGGTTCGATTCCCGCTCACAACCAACACCAGTGACGATTATCTGAACCGGTCCTGGGCCTCCCCTAGATCCACTCAGCCTCAATGAGTACCTGGTGCGATGTGTAAACATCGCCACTAGGGAGACAAAGGCGGTCGGGCGTGGTGTTGGCCACCTATCCACTCGTGTGCCGTGCGGGCCTTCATAAATGCTCGCTAACAGCACTTGCCCCAACAGCCTGTTAGGGCTACACAGGGGATCTTTATCTTTGTGTCTTTGGACACAGGAATCGCTGATACGGGAATCGAACTCGAGTCGCTGTGCTTGTAGCGCAGCGCGCCAACCACTGCGCCACCCGTACGCACGCAGGCACACTCCCACGCTCTTGTGAGGACGCATCTAAGGAAACTGGCTTTGTCCACACACCGACCTTGAGGGATGACACCGCGGCTCAAACTCCAAGCGTCCCGTTTTGATCACGGCTTCATTGTCGCTGCGCGTGGGACACTGGTGGCAGTAATGAGCCAACTGCTACGACAATAAACAGCGCTCGTGACAGTGGGGGGTAGCATCTTTGAATTTTTAACGAGCCACGTAAATTTACGGAATGCGCCCGATCGCCTCCGATCCTGGAAGCTGAGCGGGGTTGATGATGGATAGTGATTGGATGGGCAACGATCTTGCATAACAGGTGCTATAGGCTGTAGGGTTTGCTTGCGGGTAGCATGGGGCATTGCAGAAAAGCAATGGTTGTGCTGTACCAATATTCTCCCACGTCCTTGCTTCCTGGCTTCATCAACGCGCACTGACCAACGTGGTGAAGTGGGAGAAGATAGCAACTGTGGCCCATGTGATGTGAGGGGGCCCAACAATTGCACTGTGACTGTTTTTTAATGTATATCTGTGTCTCTATGTGTCTCTGTGGGTCTCTATAGGTATCTATGTGTCTCTATGAGTCTCTATGGCTCTCTATGTGTCTCTATGGGTCTCTATGGCTCTCTATGTGTCTATATGGGTCTCTGCTTGTCTCTTATATGGTCCATAATGTTGGTTGCACTGAATTATGTTGATGTTCTGATGAAATTGATGGTTACACCAGTGTCCTTGAGAAGTAGCAATGAGGTCTACCTTTGGGTCTTCCAGGCCCTTTGCTGTGTCTCAGTGATGCTGCGTGTGTGTGTGGCATGCTGTAGTGTCTCCCCATGTCTCAGTGATACTGTGTGTGTGTCGCATGCTGTAGTGTCTCCCCATGTCTCAGTGACGCTGTGTGTGTCGCATGCTGTAGTGTCTCCCCATGTCTCAGTGATGCTGTGTGTGTGTCGCATGCTGTAGATTCTCCCCATGTCTCAGTGATGCTCTGTGTGTGTGTTTCGCATGCTGTAGTGTCTCCCCATGTGTCAGTGATGCTGTGTGTGTGTCGCATGCTGTAGGTTCTCCCCATGTCTCAGTGATGCTGTGTGTGTGTGTGTGTCGCATGCTGTAGATTCTCCCCATGTGTCAGTGACGCTGCTGTGTGTGTGTCGCATGCTGTAGTGTCTCCCCATGTGTCAGTGATGCTGTGTATGTGTCGCATGCTGTAGATTCTCCCCATGTCTCAGTGATACTGTGTGTGTGTCGCATGCTGTAGGTTCTCCCCATGTCTCAGTGATGCTCTGTGTGTGTGTGGCATGCTGTAGTGTCTCCCCATGTCTCAGTGATGCTGTGTGTGTGTCGCATGCTGTAGTGGCTCCCCATGTCTCAGTGATGCTGTGTGTGTGTCGCATGCTGTAGTGTCTCCCCATGTCTCAGTGACGCTGTGTGTGTCGCATGCTGTAGTGTCTCCCCATGTCTCAGTGATGCTGTGTGTGTCGCATGCTGTAGGTTCTCTCCATGTCTCAGTAATGCTGTGTGTGTGTCGCATGCTGTAGTGTCTCCCCATGTCTCAGTGACGCTGTGTGTGTGTCGCATGCTGTAGGTTCTCCCCATGTCTCAGTGACGCTGCGTGTGTGTGTCGCATGCTGTAGTGGCTCCCCATGTGTCAGTGATGCTGTGTGTGTGTGTCACATGCTGCAGGTTCTCCCAATGTCTCAGTGATGCTGTGTGTGTCGCATGCTGTAGGTTCTCCCCATGTCTCAGTGATGCTCTGTGTGTGTGTGGCATGCTGTAGTGTCTCCCCATGTCTCAGTGACGCTCTGTGTGTGTCGCATGCTGTAGGTTCTCCCCATGTCTCAGTGACGCTGGGTGTGTGTGTCGCATGCTGTAGTGTCTCCCCATGTCTCAGTGATGCTGTGTGTGTGTCGCATGCTGTAGTGGCTCCCCATGTCTCAGTGACGCTGTGTGTGTCGCATGCTGTAGGTTCTCTCCATGTCTCAATGACGCTGTGTGTGTGTGTCGCATGCTGTAGTGGCTCCCCATGTCTCAGTGATGCTATGTGTGTGTGTCGCATGCTGTAGTGTCTCCCCATGTCTCAGTGATGCTGTGTGTGTGTGTCGCATGCTGTAGGTTCTCCCCATGTCTCAGTGACGCTCTGTGTGTGTCGCATGCTGTAGGTTCTCCCCATGTGTCAGTGATGCTGTGTGTGTGTGTCGCATGCTGTAGTGTCTCCCCATGTCTCAGTGATGCTGTGTGTGTGTGTCGCATGTTGCAGGTTCTCCCCTACGACTATTATGGCTCCTACGATCACAAGCCCCACCAGGATTACAAATACAAGAGCCTCCTGTCGGACGAGTACACATTCGACTTCCCTCCCCATCACCACGTGGTGAGTCCCCCGTGTATCATCATCGTCATCGGCACCACTGCCACCAGCGTGTTCATCATCATCATCAGCAACAGTATCGTCATTATCAGCACCACTACTACCAGCGTGTTCATCATCATCAGCAACAGCATCGTCATCATCAGCACCACTACCATCAGCGTGTTCATCATCAGCAACAGCATCGTCATCATCAGCACCACTACCATCAGCGTGTTCATCATCATCATCATCAGCAACAGCATCGTCATCATCAGCACCACTACCATCAGCGTGTTCATCATCATCATCATCAGCAACAGCATCGTCATCATCAGCACTACTACCACCAGCGTGTTCATCATCAACAGCATCGTCATCAGCACCACTACCACCAGCGTGTTCATCATCATTAGCAACTGCGTTGTCATCATTAGCACCACTACCACCAGCGTGTTCATCATCATCAGCATCGTCATCATCAGCACCACTACCACCAGCGTGTTCATCATCATCAGCAACAGCGTCGTCATCATCAGCACCACTACCACCAGTGTGTTCATCATCAGCATCGTCATCATCAGCACCACTACCACCAGCGTGTTCATCATCATCAGCAACAGCATCGTCATCATCAGCACCACTACCACCAGCATGTTCATCATCAGCAGCAACAGCATCGTCATCATCAGCACCACTACCACCAGCGTGTTCATCAACATCGTCATCATCAGCACCACTACCATCAGCGTGTTCATCATCATCAGCAACAGCGTCGTCATCATCAGCACCACTACCACCAGCGTGTTCATCATCATCAGCATCGTCATCATCAGCACCACTACCACCAGCGTGTTCATCATCATCATCAGCAACAGCGTCGTCATCATCAGCACCACTACCACCAGCGTGTTCATCATCAGCAACAGCATTGTCATCATCAGCACCACTACCACCAGCGTGTTCATCATCATCATCAGCAACAGCGTCGTCATCAGCACCACTACCACCAGCGTGTTCATCATCATCAGCAAAAGCGTCATCATCAGCACCACTACCATCAGCGTGTTCATCATCATCAGCAACAGCGTCGTCATCATCAGCACCACTACCACCAGTGTGTTCATCATCAGCATCGTCATCATTAGCACCACTATTACTGGCAGCTTCACCACCAGCAGTGTCACCATCATCTTCAACAGCAGCAGCAACAGCGTCGTCAGCAGTATTTCCATTTCCATTGGCAGTTCCATCATTATCATCAGCGAAAGCAGCAGCAGCTTCATTAGCAGAACCTCTACCATGCTCCACCAGCAGTGTCATGATAGTTTTATGGTGATTGATGGGGACAATGGCGTTGATGCTATTCATGATAAAGGTGCTTTTGACGACGATGGTGATGATGGTGATCAGGAAGTTTTAATCATGGTGATGATGCTCTGCTAATGTTGGTTATGTCGGTGATGATGTCGTTGATGATGTTGGTGACGACGACGATGATGATGATGATGGCGATGAGGTCATTGTACTATCGCTCGCATCGCGTGTAGATCCGAGACGAGTGTGTGTCGTGCCGGAACGCCGTCGCGGTGTTCAGCATGTCGTACTTTGGCAAGTTCTACCTCGTCGGACCCGACGCTAAGAAAGCTGCCGATTGGCTCTTCACAGCTGACGTCTCCAAGCCAGTGGGTGAGTGTGGCCGGGCGTGGTGCTGACCACCCACCCCCTTCGTGTGCCGTGCCCGCCTTCATAGGTCCTCGCTAACAGCACTTGCCCCAAAAGTCTGTTAAGGCTATACAGTGGATCTTTGTCTTTGTATGTGTGTATAAGAGCGAGCGGTGGTGTCGCGGTTAGTGCACCGCGCTACGAATCCAGTGACCCGAGTTTGATTCCCGCTTATGGCCAACACCAGTGACGATTATCTGAAACAATCTTGGGCCTCTCCGAGTTTGACTCAGTATGAAATGAGTACTTGGTGCGATGCGTACACTTAACCACTGGGGAGACAAAGGCGGCCAGGCGTGGTGCTGGCCACCCACCCCCTCGTCTGCCGTGCCGGCCTTGACAGGTGCTCGCTTAACAGCACTTGCCCCAGCAGTCTTTTAAAGGATATTCTGGGGGATCTCTTGATTTTGTGTGAGTGTGTACGAGTGTGCATGCGTGTGTGGATGTGCACTGCTTGATGGAGGCCGTCATCCCTCATGGTCACGTGATGCCCAAAACTGGAGCAGCTGAAACGCGAGCGGATCTCTCGGGTCAACCTCCGCCGCCAGCTATCAACCCGGTTCAAATCCCACGACCCACGTCCTCTCCTTAACGGTCAATTCCACGTTCCCTAAACTTGCGCACGTTCTCCCATCCACGTGCTCCTCTCTCTTCTCTCTGCCATGCACGTCTCTCACGTGCCCGTCTGTCTCGAGATCCCTCTTCACCGTGCGATCTGGATAAGAGCGAGCACACATCAAGAGTTGTGCGTACCTAGGGCAGGCGGTGAGGGTGGATCCGGGGGATCTACGCGATCGGAATAAAGATGCTCCGCGAGAGATCGGGTCGGGGTGCGTTTGGAAAGCCAAACTTGAATAATTGAAAGCAGCTCATCAACGTGGCAGGCGCTGAGCTAAACAGAGCCTCATTTGCGTATCGGGCAGGGAGACAGATGGCATGAGCATTTGGATGGGTTAGGGAAACTGGGCTTCTCCTGGGCTGACAAGACTCCAGTTCCGCGCCAGCGTAACTGGTATGCAGGAGGTCGTGGGTTCGATCCTGACACTGACGCCTGCTGCTGTATATTTGGAGTTTGCGTGTCTCTCTCTCCCCGTGGTCGCGCGGATTTTCTCCGGGTCCTCCGGTTTTTCCCTCCACATTTAGAATCAACATCACACGTTTAGAGTATTTTGCTGCTATACGTTTACACGCGATAAACCACTTCATTCAGCTATCATTTGTGGCCAGGTCACTTCTGAAAAAGAGCTATATAGCTCAGTGGGACTTACCGCCATATCTCTCTCCACGTCTCTCTCCATGTCTCACTGTCTGTCTCTGTATCTCTCTCGGTATCTCTCTGCTTGTCTGTCTCAGTGCATATCTCAAGAGGTGGGAGTTACCGCACCCCCGATTAGCACGGTTAGCTACATACTGTGCGAAAGAAGTTCAACTTAATATCGACATACATATACACGCATATCTCTCCTACTTTCTCTCAGTGTTTTTCTCCATGTCTCCCTCTATCTGTCCGTGTCTCTCTCCCCGTGTCTCCCTCAGTGTATGTTCTCTGTCTCCGTATCCATCTCCACGTCTGTCTCTGGGGCCTCCCTCTGTGGCCTCCCTCTGTGACCGGGCCCCCGTTGATTGCCGCGCTGCCTCTGGGACGCCGTCGTGACGTCCGCGTGCCGCCCACCGCTGATCGATGGGCCCCTTCCCCAGCAGCGGCCCTCGTTAACTCGCGTTTGGCACCAGGTGTTTAATCACCGCCGGGTATCGACGCCATTGATCACTCGCCGCCGGCGCTACCAAACTCCGTCTGTCCCATTTTTAACGTTTACTTATTTACCAGTCGTCTGCTTTTGCCCTGTGTTTGGCGATGTTTTGTTTTTTATCGCCGGGTTTCATCCGCGGTGGCGCTGCCATCCAGCAGAGGGCGGCTCGACGATCGGAGACCCCGCCTCGTGGGGTTCAAATCCCGGTCTCACGGCGACTCAGAATCGGAATCTTTATTTCGTGCGAATCAGAATATTTATTTATGCTGGAGCGATCTGATGAACTATAAAGCTCTTTTGTCAAAGATGTCCAGTAAGGGGCACCGGGTCAGAACGTTACAACAATAAACAATACAAAAACACGATATGAGTGCAAAGTATATGAAAGGTAGGAAAATCACTCAAAAAAATACAAATAAAACTAAACTATTTAAATGTTACCAGGCAAAGCCCACTGAACTTATTAGCTTCTTTTTCAGAAGCGACCTGGTCACAGATGAGAGCTCAACGAAGTGGCTCAGCATGTGGACATTTATAGAAGCCAAATAATCTAAGTAATTTAAACGCATGTTTCTAAATGTGGAGGGAAAAGCCAGAGAGAAAATCCACGTGACCCCGGGGAGAACATGCAAACTCCAAATATACAGCAGGTGTCAGGGTCGCGAACGAGCCCTCGACCTCCTGCATACTAGGCAAGGTAGTTAACATCTCATAGCCACCGGTTGAGGAAATTATTTCCTCTGGGTGGGAAGTCCGCGTTGTTTGATGACAATGATTCATAAACTCTGCCTTCGATGAGAGTTGGCACAGTGGAATGGGCACCCAACTCGCAATCGTAAAATGTGCGAGTTCAATTCCTGGCTGGCGATCACAACGGCCCATTATCCGTCTGGAATCGATTAAATTAGTACCGCTCTTTTTGGAAAAATGGAAAACATCAAGAATTTGATTTTTTCTGAGTTAATTTACGAGGTATAGACAGACATGTCCGGTAAATAACTACTTCTGAGTCGCTTGAGTAGGCCTCTCTCAATCAACACGAAAGAGTTTCTCCTTCTTGTGAAAATAGCGGTTCACCTTGTGCCAGCCGCCTAATACAGCTTACCTCTCAGAGCAGGGTCAGGTCCAATTCATCCTTTCCCCTTCCGAGACATCTGAATCTCTGAGCGTCGAAGCCGCTCAGCGTAAATTTTATTTAGAGAGACGTAGCGCCGTTGTTTTTAAAGACATTGTTACTCACCGCAGTAAACTGTAGCAACACGACCGCACTCTACGATAGCTGGCGCCAAACTGTGCCGCACGCCCTCCCGTGTAGCCTTGTGGGAGCGTCGATACTAATGAAGTTATTCTTTTTTTTCTGATGACGTACGCGTACACGTATGTACATACACGTATGTGTATGTGTACGTCATCGGAATGGGAAATGGTTGATTGAATTTTTTTTTTACTTTTGTAGGATTTTTTTGTTGCAGTCAACCTTGACCCGGGCCGAGACCATCAACTCGCTGGTGTAATCATTGCGACTGAGACCTGGATTCAGACGTTGCTCTTAAATCTCTGTTTATGCGACACGAATTGCACTCTGCTTGCAATTTGCAGACACGTGCAGGATTTCTGGGCAGCACAGCTGCTCTGTGGGTGTTATGATGATTATTTTTTTTAGTGCGAAGAATGTCAAGGTGCCATCCCTCCTGGGAATTAGGGCAGTTAACCGTGTCGTTATCATCAGAGGTTGGAGGTTGTTTTTGTTTTCCTTCTACTTTGTGAGTTCCGGTCCACTCTCGCAACGACTTGCCCCATAACCCTCCAGATGCTTCTCAGCTGCGAGGACTCGTGTGTGTGTGTGTGTGGCCGGATGAAATAAATATACCGACTCCATCGTAAGCCACGTTCAATCCAATGCGGTTTGTCTCGTGAACCCACGCCGCACTTGTGCCATTGCACCGTTACAGCGTGAAATGGCGCGGGGGTAACCGGGTGACTCGGAGGTCAGAGCGCTGGGCTAGCAACCGCTGAGATCCCGGGCTTGTCTATTGTGGTTGCGTCTCGTGTCGCATGTTTTGTGTTCCTGCGTGTGAGCGGTTTGCCAGGCGGCACGGTGTACACGTGTCTACTAAACGCTCGTGCTTTGTCAGGTGCCACGGTGTACACGTGTCTGCTGAATCCTCGTGGCGGGGTGGAGGGCGACCTCACTGTGAGCCGTGTGGCACCCGGGAAAGGAGACGACCCACTCGCTCCCGAGTTCGAGGGTAAGAGCAACAACATCATCAGCATCGTCATTCTCGTTGTCATCATCATCACCATTCTCAGCAGCATTGTTGACCCTATTCCCATTCTGAGATGACTGCAAGTTGCAGGGTGGGTGTCCCGTTGACCGCTGAATCGCTAATCGCGCAAGAGTTTACCATTAATTTAATTTAGAGAGGCGTAATAGCACAGTTTTTTTAAAAGACGTCATACTCACCGCAGAGAACTGTAGTGACACGACCGCATTCTATGATAGCTAGCGTCAACCTGTACCACACGACCTCCCGCTTGGCCTATTTATTTTAGTTTTTCTTCTGATTCCGTTCCGATGACATATGTGTACGTATGTGTACGTCAGCGCAATGGAATCGGAAGAAACGGCGACGATGTGCAAGTAGGTCATCGGAATGGGAAAGTGTTAATGATGAGAGCGACGTGTGTTTGATTAGAGCCGCCCTCCTTCACACCGGGGACGTCTCGGAGCACTACACGCGACATCTCACCTCGACACGTGTTTGAAAGGGCAGCTCTCCCAGTGGCAGCTGCCCCTGCGCAGCACAAGGTGACTCGGCACCCGGCCTACGCGCAGGCTTGAGTCTGCCTGTAGGGGGGCGGTGACTGTCCTACTGGACATTGTGACAAAGAGCTTCATAGCTCATCGGATTCCTCCAGCAGTCTAAATAAAGATTCTGACGCTTCAGACTGCTATGTGTAATCCCAATGGAGTAGTTTGCGGTGTAATCTTCCAAATTTGGCAAATCTAGAGCACGACTCTGGCACACGGGTGGCCTACTCACTTCTGAATCATGTCGGGGGGAACTCTCACGTTTGCTGTGAAGAAAACGGCGCATAATTTATGATGAATACACCTGCAGGAGTAATAATATATCATCAGAGCCTCCTGCAGGATTTTAACCGTGAATCTGTGCAACGAGCAGTCGGACGCTCCAGAGCGGCGTCGCCTCCTCTTCGCCATGCCATGGCACGGCGTTCATCATCATCCTCCTCATCGTCCTCCTCATCGTCCTCCTCATCGTCCTCCTCATCGTCCTCCTCATCGTCCTCCTCATCGGCCAGCAGTATCAGTGGATACATGACAGTTGGTCGACCAGCAGGTCACATCAATCAATCGATCAATCTTTATTTTACGTGCCAATATAGCCCTCAATAAAGTATGCATCAGTGCACATGACAACGGGAGGAAGCGGTGCCAGGGAAGGCACGGAGCAGCAGGAGCCGGAAGAGAAACCCGTCACGACCTCAGTGGCTAACGCCGCCTGAGCAGAGTCCATTACAACAGCGAGCACAATCAAGTGCAACCGTGCACAACGAATAGCATAAGAAAGGTAAGTAGTAAATAACAAAATGTAAAATAAATAACGAGTAAAGAGACAGTTTTTATTTACATTTTTTTTTAGATTTTATGGAAAGGCAAGTCTGATAAGATGTCTTGGGGTAGAGTGTGGGTACTCACACCTCTTCCCAGGGTACCCAAATGCACCTTATCGGGGCTCTCTTGAGCTCCCCTTAGGAGAAGCTCTTCTACCAGCAGTGGCGTGAGCGAGCAACGGCAGGGCTGCAGCTCGTTTCCATTGGTGACACACAACGGAGTGCTGTTACCTTGATAATCTCGTCAAGGAGCACAAATCATCGTCACGCAAACTCCGGTGGTCATCCTCGCAGCAGCAGCGGCTTTTGGCTGCTGCCATCGAACAAAGGCGGTGGTCACCGCATCGCGCGGCGCTTTCATGTGCGCTTCTGTGGCCGTCTGGAACGCTCTTGCTTCCGATATTAGGAAGCCACTGGAGCTATGCACTTTTAAATCATCTAGGTTGAAAACGCCTTTCTTTAGAGCTGCTTTTTGTGTTTAGTTTGTTGTCCTTCCCCCGCACCTCCGATTAGCACGGCAAGGCTGCGTACGGTGAGAAAGAAGTTCAGCATACAGTAAAACCTTGGATTGCGAGTAACTTGGTCTGCGAGTGTTTTGCAAGACGAGCAAAACATTTAAATAAATATTACTTTGATAAACGATCGAGGTCTTGCAATACGAGTAGTACGTATACGCTTTGTCTGCCGAGCGTCACGTGATCACAACTGATATACGAGTGCTTTGATATACGAGTGCTTTGGATTACAAACACGTTTCCGGAACGAATTATGCTCGCAATCCAAGGTTTTACTGTAGGTGCACACGTACACAATTGGGTCTATTGGCTGCTACTCTTCCTGTCCATCAGCCCCGACGCTGCCCTCGCGGATTTTGTGTGGGCAAGCTCAGCTCTATTGTTTTGCACCCTGAGTCTGCCAGATGGGGGCGATAGCTTTGGCGTGTCTTATCAGGGAGATCGCAAAGCTGACGTTAAGCATTGCAGTTGTCATGCAGTGGTGAAGGTACAGGCGCAGCCCTGCAACCTCTCGCTCACGCCACTTCTGGCGTGTCCTGCCCAATTGACTTTTCGAAACATTCAACACTTGATACACGCGCTCCCGTTTTACGTGTCGCCAGTGCAGAATCGGAATCTTCATTTGCAGGAGGAGGAGGAATCCGATGAGCTATGAAGCTCTTTTTCACAGATGTCCAGTAGGAGCGGGTCAGCAAAGTTACAACAACAAACAGTACAGAAATCGATAGCGGTGTAAATAATAGGAAAGGTAATCAAGTCACTAAATAAAAATAAAAATACATAGAGTATCGAAGTACGAAATGCGTATGTTCACGGTAGTGCCACATCTTTCTGGCACCAGTCGCTGATGTCGTCGTCGTCATCGTCAATCCACTCTGTGAGGTCTTCCTCTCTTTCCGCTTCCTTCCATTGTTCCCCAAACAACACACGTTTATACATTTTTTCCTCCAGCATAACCAAATATTCTGATTCCGACCTTGCGATATTCTGCTATTGACGACTGCCACGGTGGCTCCGACACCGCCGCCGCGGTTTTGAGCGTGCGCCGTGTGGGTGCGCCGCAGGTGACGGCTTCTACCTGGCTGTGGGCGGCGCTTCGGCCCAGCACGCCTGGTCCCACGTGAGCTCCGTGCTGCAGGACGGCGCCTTCAGGTGTCGTCTCGTCGACACCTCGCCTCGCTTGGGACTCCTCAGCGTGCAGGGCCCTCGCAGGTGCGGTTTGACGGCGCTCGTACAACGAATAGAGGTCCCCCCGCCCCCCGTGTAGCCTTAAACAGAGTGTTGGGGCAGGCGCTGTTAGTGAGCGCCTGTGAAGACCGGCACAGCACGGCACATGAGGGGGTGTTGATAGTTACACACCGCTCCAGGTACTCATCTGCATACACACACACACACGCTTAAGCATATTTACACTAATTTTCATATCCATGTTTGTTTACTTGACACACCTAACTAAATTAGCTGTGTCGGGTGGTGGCGGGTTTAACAACAAACGTATATTTATGCGATCTAACCCAAAAACCTCTATTATGGATGATGTATGTATACGTGCGTACACTGTCGAAGTTATCCCTGACAAAGAGGCACAGTGTATTTTTTATTCTCCATGAGCTCTCACAGTTGAATGACTGATTGAATCAGAATCAGAATTTATTTTGCATCATTGTGGAGAGACAGACGGCTGTCTATTGAATGCACACATGGTGGAGGGAGTGGTGGCGCAGTGTTTGACTTACCGCACTGTAAACCCAACAACTGGAATTAAATTGACGGCCACAGCTGGCATCAGTGGCGAATGACATTTGCACAAGTCCTAGGTACTCCACGCCCCCCGTTCGCTAAACCGCACCAACCAACGTGGTGAAGTATGGTCAAACAACCCCCGTGACTGGCACAATGTCGGGAAGCCTTCATCTAGCAGTGGAATGACATCGGGCTGCATATAATGATTTTTCCTCTATTATTAATACAAATGTACTGTCTAGTGCTGTACAGACTCAACAGTGTGTGTGGAATGATCTTGCCTGTAACATCAGGCAACCAAGCAGCAGTTTAACTGCTTACATTCTGCTAATGAAACCCACAAAGACAAAACCAGTTAAGACGGCTCGTATACATGGTAAAGTCACACTCCTTAGTCACAATACCTCGCTGATCTCATCAAGGACCATAAACCACCATGCTGAGTCTGGCCAACCTCGCAGCGGCTTTTGGCTGGCCATCGAACAAAGACGATCACTGCATCGTGCGCTTTCAGACGCGCATCTGCGGCCGTCTGGAACGTTCTTCCTTCTGATATTAGGAAGCCACTGGAGTGATGGACTTTTAAAACTAGATTGCAAACTAATTTCTTTAGAAATGTTTTTTGTGTTTCGTTTGTTGTCCTTCCCTCACACCTCCGATTAGCACGGTAAGGCTACGTACGGTGGCGGAAGAAGTTGAACATACATGCAATACATACGTAGGCTGATGGACTAAAACGATACGGTACAATGGTGCATCTCTGATTCGCTAGGGACCAAGGTGCAGGAGGTTCTGTAAAAAAGTCGGTTAGGTGAGCGTCCATAGAAAATGACCGCCACGCCGTACACAAACAGCGTACGGCCTACGGGCGGTTCGCTGGTCATGGCGGATACACGATGGTTTGCGTACGCAACGTTGCGCTCTACTTTAATATAGAGAGGCGGCAAGATGGGCGAGTATTAGTTGACCGGTTGAGGACTGACTCGGGCCATCATCCATCTGGTTCCATGAAATGAGAGTCAAATAGATGCCACGTTGTGGGGGAAGTCAACAGTGGTTGACCCGTGGATAGACTCGCCCCTGCCATAAGGATGTGTCATTTCCACTACTGGCTGAGGGCTCAGGAGAGGAGGTAGTGCCTCGATGCTCATTTGAACAGGAAATCACGACGTTGTTTGGTTGCTAGTTTTTGTTGTTGTTTACACAGTTGCTGAGCACAGGCCCAAATCATCAAGCAGCGCTGTCACATTTGTGTAAGAGATTAGAATCTACACATTTCTTAAATCAAGCAGTGCTAGAAGAGCTCACGGAAAGAGGGCGATGGGAGGGAATTCCACGGCTGAGCAGTGCGAGGGCAAGAAGCAGAAAAAGGAGTGTGGGTGGGTGGGTGAGTGGGTGGGTGGGTGGGTGAGTGAGTGAGTGGGTGGGCGAGTGAGTGGGTGGGTGAGCGGGTGGGCGAGTGGGCGGGTGAGCGAGTGAGTGAGTGGGTGGATGAGTGGGTGGGTGAGTTTGTAGTTGTGATCTGCAATATGATGGTAGAATACAGTATGGATGAAACAAAAAGAGATTGTTTGGTCACAAATCCTAGATTTTGTACTCTACTTGGTTTAAAAGCGTTTTGTAGCTGCTGTTGCTGCTGCTCAAAGTCTTTGAACCAACTGGAGTCTTTTCCCTGGGGATCACCGCTCTGTCATGTCTCTACTCTCTTAAGCATTATTGAGGTCAGAACAATACAAAAATGCGAATGTACAGAATTGTTTGGTAAGGTCATTTAATTGTAATTATTTTACGTTTCATATCGTGTTCATTAATTAACTTGTAACTCTTGCTGCCGTGTGTCTGTCTGCTGGCTCAGTCACCCTTGAAACAGAATCGCGTAGCTCAGCAGGTAGTTTACTCGGACACTCAACTTCTGACTCTGAAAACGGTCCGGTAGAACAAGTCGCCGACATGGGGTGGAGCAGCCAAGGAGTGGGCAGTTCACAGGAACAGCAACCATCGCAGTAGCAATAGCAGAGTGACGAGGAGGTGACCATAGGTGACAAGGATGCCGTGTGTGTCTGCAGCCGGGAAGTCTTGGAAAAGGTTCTGGATGCTGATCTCAGCAACGAGAGCTTCCCCTTCTCCACGCACAAGCTCGTGAAGGCGGCTGGGCACGAGGTGAGTGTGTGATGCCAGCGCCAGCTGTTCACTTACGGCACTTGTATGTTGAACTTGTTTGCACACTGCGCTTGTATGCTGAGCTTCTTTCGCACCATACATAGTCAACCGTACTTACATCGGAGGCACTAGGTTCTTATTGTTGGCTGGGTTCACCGAGGAATAAACCAGGATCGTTTCTGATACCGCTGATGTTAGCCATGGCCGAAAATCTTAATCTAGGTCGCTGGGTTCATAGTAGAGTGCGCTAACCACTACGCCACTGCTTGCCACACCTATACAAAGATAATGATCCCCGGTATAGCATACTTGTGGGGGCAGGTGCTATTAGTGAGAACCTATGAAGACCGTCACAGCGCATGAGAGGGTGGTGTGGCCAACATCACTCCCGGATGCCTTTGCTGACTCACCGTACCAGGAACTAATTTAATTCTGGGCGAATCCAGAAGAGGCCAAGGACCGGCTCAGATATCCATCTCGTGACAATAGCTTTGGCCGGGAATCCAACTCGGACGCCGGGTTCGCAGCGCAGTGCGCTAACCACCGCGCCACCGCTCCAGTGCGCTGTTTTTCCATCCGCGCCACACACGGGCACGCAGACACGCACGCCACGCCTCCGCTCGTACTCCTTTAGGCAGCGCTCTCTGGCCCCCTCTCGGTGTTGTCCTAACGAGCCTCGAGCCCGGCCCTGAGCCCGGCGTAACAAGTCTGCCCTTTGCAGCCGTGCGGGCGTCATGCTCGGAGGTGTGGGAAGCCGCCGCCCCTTGGCCCTGGGTTCGTTATCCCGATTATCGTCACCCGATGGCGCCTTGGCAGCCGGCAGCTTTGCCTGCCTTGCATTTGTTCGTTCGCTCGTCTGGGAGAGCCTTGCTCGTGTGCGCCGTTTCTGCAAACACTTGGAACCGGGCCGGGTCGGCTCAAGAACAACGCAGGGATGCGCTGAGAACTACAACATGCCCTGATCGCCATGCTCGTTAAGCAGTGAGGCTTCCTGGGTTCAGCCCCTTCCGTGCGTACCCCCCCCCCCCCAACCCCCTAGGAATGAGTTTTTGGTAAAAAAAAGTTAGACTTTTGAGAAAATGTTTGGATTTGTTTTGGAGTTTCAGATAATTTACCATTTTTAATTTGTAATATTTGAACGTGTGTTTTCGTGCTTACCAAAGTGACGTCACTCGATGCCACTTGGGGTGCCACTCTTAGTGGGAAAAGCGTGGACGGGACGTAAATATTCGTGACGTCACTCCCCGTGACGGCGTACTTTCAGATCGATCCAAAACAAAAAAAATTGTAATCGCACGAAAATCTTTTTGTCTAGGCCCAATCATTCAAGATGGGCTTTTGCGAACCAATCAACCAACTCAATACAAAACTACAGCTGTTGCTCTCCGCCAACATCAGCCGTCCTCCGAAGAAGATGAAGTCGCAGGCCATCGTCACGCTCGACGGTTTTCACCCACGCTACACACGCAGAGCCACCGGTGAACAACGTGGACATTGCTGCCACCGATTTTGCTCACGCAGGGGTCTGAAACCTGCGGCTCCGGGAGCGCACGCGGCCCTTCAAAGGACTGCCTCGTGACGTTATTTACGAACGAGCGTCTCGCTTTCACGAGCATGGCGGCTCTTGAAACATTGAACCGTTTGCCGAATTCGAACAAAAAAGGCTCTTGTCGTTAGTTTTGGATGCCGACCCCTGGGCTAACGGAATGACCGCCGTGTGTCCCCCCCCCGCCCCGTCGCGGGGGCAGGTGCGTGCCATGCGTGTGTCGTTCGTGGGGGAGCTGGGCTGGGAGCTGCACGTGCCCGCGGCCGCGTGCGATGCCGTCTACGCGGCGGTGATGGAGGCCGGGCGGCCCCTGGGCATCGCCAACGCCGGCTACCGCGCCATCGACTCGCTCTCCATCGAGAAGGGTGAGCCGGCGAGGGGTTCACCGTCGCGAGGTGGCATTCCTTTCAAGGGTCCCCCACCCACGTCAGGGCTCAGGACCTGGGTTCGAATCCAGGTTTCAGCCGCCTGGGATTAAAAAAAAAACTGATTCTCAAGTCTAGTTGAGTCGATGGCCTCTACCAACGATTGTGCAAAAAAAATAAAACCCATCGCTTTAATTCCGGTTCACACGATGAACATTACTGTCATGTACGTATATGTACCTATGTTGAACTCCTTTAGCACCGTACCTAGCCAACCGTGCTAATCGGTGGTGCCGGAGAAGGACAACTAATTAACACGCAAAAAAGTAGTTCGTATGGCAGACGGGGTGGGAAAGTGCTGTCCCCTAATGTATGGTGGGCCAGAGGTCACGCGAAGAAGGGACCTCGGAGGTAGCTCTGCGATATCCACTTCCACGAATCGTTTGGACTGCTCCGTGAGAGATCCGAATGGTCGCTGCGTCTCGTGACGCCGTTGGCACAAACGGAAGCGCGTGAGTTGAGGGCCCCTGGCGGTGTCTCCACCGCTCCGTCGCTCCGGCACCGCCGTTTACCCGTCGTGTCCCCCCCACTCTCCCCCCCCTCAGGCTACCGCCACTGGCACGCCGACCTCCGCACGGACGACTCTCCGCTCGAGGCCGGCCTGGCTTTCACCTGCAAGCTCAAGTCGTCCGTCCCGTTCCTGGGCCGCGAGGCCCTGGAGGAGGAGCGCCGGCGTGGGCTGGCCAAGCGCATCGCCTGCTTCACCATCGACGAGTGAGTTCCTTGAGCGCTCGCGTCTCTCCGATCCCAAGGCTCTCGCCGCCCCGGTACCACGGTGGTAAAGAATTAAACCACGCCGCACCGGGGCGCTGGCAGAGCAGAGAATTTGCGTGTTTTTCCACTCGCTCCCTGCAGAGGTTTGCGGTTCGGGTAGAGCAGCCACCCTGGTTAATACTGCGGGTGCCATCGTCATCAGCCATGGCGTCGTCACGCACGGTGTCCGTGCCCGCGTCTGTCTGTGCCGTGTCCGTGCGTGCGTCTGTCTGTGCCGTGTCCGTGCGTGCGTGTAAAAGGCTTAAGTGCTGCCGCGTCGGCTTTGAGAGAGTGCGGTCAGGGATGGTTGGGCTGAGTCAAACTCACCGCTCCCTAAAAACCCTTTCAGAGCGAGCGGCTCCTTACATTCATTATTCACCTCCCCTTAAACTTCTCTCTGATGCACAGGTCCCTCGCGTTAGCGGGGTTTTTATTTCATTTTTTTTTCAAAATCCAGGAAAGCTTCGCTGAGTCGTTGGGATTCGTTCGCAATCAGCGCTAATGCTCGCTGACGAAGACGGCCTTGTAGGAATTGTGTCGTTGCTGTTCCTACCGCCATTGAAAGAAAAACTGGTAAACGCTTAACTATTTTTATTTTACCAGGTAAGGCCCACTGAGCTGTGTAGCTCTCTTTCAGAAGTAACATGGCCACAAATGACAGCTCAACGAAGTGGCTTATCACGTGGACATTTATTATATAAATGCGTGATGATTCTAAATGTGAAGGGGAAAAAGGAGGACCCGGAGAAAAATCCACGCGACCATTGGAGGTGAGACACCACAAACTCT